ACACTCCAATCGATCAACTTTCAATAAATTATCAAAAACACTCAGAAGAATAATTTTACAGGGCTAACTTCATTCTTATACTTTATTAACAGTATTCACTCCTATAGAGATTATTAGCCACAATGCACCCTGACAATCACATGCTGGAAAAACAACTCAGTCAATAATGTACCATTTCTGTAAACAGAAATTGGTGCCACAACATTCCACATCTTTAAAATCCGCACTTTCAGGGTAAGGGGACTCATATCTCAGGTCCATGGAGCAAATAGAGAAAACAAAATGGTTTATAAAAGTATGAATCTAGAAATAGCAGGTTTTTGTAAAGGTCACCCACAACTGATACAAGTTTCAGGTCCAAAATTATAGTTATTTTTGTCCTCCAAATTAGAACTTTATTAAAAGGACTTGTAGTCATATATTTTTGCACCTTAAAGTGAGCAGAGTACCATAAATGTCCTCTCTTCTCCCTCTACTGCGTTACCTAGTGTATCTGCCTGCCCCTTGAAAGGGCAGTATTCATCTCTAGAATATAAAATAAGTACTTCATAAAAATAGAAAATAAACATTACACACAGACTGGGTGTAAGAAAAAAATCATTTTTACTTCCCTTTTTACTAAAGGAAATTCTGAGTATAACTTTAATATATCACACTCTAATCCAAAGCCTAGGCTACTACCTGAAGTCAAAATCAAACAAGTTTAAAAAAATAAATAACACAGTTAATGCCTTCAGAATTTTCAGGAGTCCACTACTTTTACAAAATGCCCTTGTCCTAAAAGGTGTCATATGGTCAATTTCAACTTAAAACTTTAAGGTAAGTAATTTTTATAAATTAAATTTTAAAAATAGAGAAAACTACAAACTATCAATGCACTGTAAGTTGACTTTATTCAAGATAATATACAGTTAAACAGAATGATATGTTAAATTCTAAATTGGCAGAAAACATCATCCCCATCAACATTCCATTTTCTTTCCTCAAAAAATAAATTCAGTTTTCAGATGGTAAGAATCATGCTGAGGGGGCCGGCACTGTGGTGTAGCAGGTAAATCTACCGCCTGCAGTGCTGGCATCTCATATTGGTCATTGGTTTGAGTCCCGGCTGCTCCACTTCCCATCCAGCTTCTCTGCTATGGCCTGGGAAAGCAGTGGAAGATGGTCCAAGTCCTTGGGCCCCTACACTGGTGTGGGAGACCTGGGAAGCAACTCCTGGGTCCTGGCTTTGGATAGGCGCAGCTCCAGCCATTGTGGCCAATTGGGGAGTGAACCAGCAGATGGAAGACCTCTCCCTCCTTCTTTCTCTGTGTAACTCTGACTTTTAAATAAATAAATCTTTAAAAAAAAAAAAAAAAAGGAATCATGCTGAAAACCCGACAACACACAGAAATACAGAAAATACAAAATAAAATCATCCTGAATCTCACTATTCACAAGTAACTATCATTAACATAAATATCATTCCAGAAGATGGATGGGCTCTATATATTCACAACCACACATATATGAATCAATGTAAACACATCCATATATGTGTATATATATGCACACACAGTCCTTTCCTTTACAAATATTGAAGAAATGTAAGAACAGCTTAAGATAATTTTTTGAAAATCAGAAACATATACCTCATTCCGCTCATTCCGCTTATGTACTTCCATTTAAGCAGGCCAGATATGAAATAGTGTGTATGCACGCGCACATGTTACTGTTGTCAACTGCTTAAGAGAAGATGAAAAACTGTGTCTGTTTGCTTGTTTTATTTATTTATTTATTTATTTTTAGGATGAAAAAAGGATAAAGAAAAGGAAGACCCTGGCTGAGTTTTCCAAAGCCTGAGAACACAGACATCTGTAGTAAAGAAGGCTGGCCCCCTGGAACCCAGGAGCAGGTTATGGTCCTGACAAAACTGCACAGCAGACAAGTCGGCTTTAAGGGCCTCGCCTTCCTGACACAAAGAGCGGTCTCCTTGTAACTGGGATCTGAGAGCTCTACTGACCAAGCTCGTGACCTGTGCGCTTCACTCAACCTTCCTGTGACTCACTCTATTTCAAAATGCCAGGATTCTCCCCTGCCTCTCTCTTCCCCACCATCTTTTCTGCTCCTCTCAAGATATACAAAACAAACAAATAAATAAATAAATCCTCTCCTCCGGGCTCACTGGGTTTCCACGATTCAACACACATCCCACATCCTTCCCACAAACTGCCACCTCCTCAAAGCACTGATTCTCCCCTAGTAAGTGATGAGAGCAAAGTGTGAGCAATTTTAGGGGGAGAAGACAGAACAACTAAAAAAAAAAATGTATGTAGGTACAAATTTTTAACTTAATATAAAAATAGCTTCATGAGGGGCTGGTGGTGTGGCTCACTTGGCTAATCCTCCACCTGCAGCACCAGCATCCCATGTGGGCGCCGGGTTCTAGTCCCGGTTGTTCCTCTTCCACTCCAGCTCTCTGCTGTGGCCCGGGAAGGCAGTGGAGGATGGCCCAAGTGCTTGGGCCCTGCACCCACATGGGAGACCAGGAGAAGCACCTGGCTCCTGGCTTCGGATTGGCGCAGCGCCAGTCGCAGCGGCCATTTGGGGAGTGAACCAATGGAAGGAGGAACCTTCTCTCTGTCTCTCTCTCTCTCTCTCTCTCTCTCTGTCTATAACTCTACCTGTCAAATAAATATTAAAAAAAAAATAGCTTCATGAGATCGATGGGGAAAAAGGCATACTCTTACTACTTAAGATAACTCATTTTAAAAAGTTAGTAAAAAAAAAAAGTGTTTTTTGCTCCAAAAGTACTCAGGCCTTAGCATATTTAAGATAGCAATGGGAAGCGGCTTCTAACTCTCTACCCCTGACAGCTGCAGGGTACCTCAAAGTTCAAAGTGCATTCATGTGCATTATTTACTTTCATCCCCAAAACAGATAAAGAGGCCACTGCTGACTGCCTCTCTAACACCCATTTCCCTCATAGTCTTCCTTTCCACAAGTTTTTAAAATATTCTCCCTTTACTATGAAACACAGAGAAAGTGATCCCACCAGCAACTGCAGGAGATCCGACCTAACTAGCAGAAACCAACAAGGGTAACACACCTCCCTTGTCCTAACTACTCAGGAACTGTCTGTGACCTAATTCTAATCAACAAAACACGCAGGGAAAAGTACTCTGGTAGGCTTGACCAGATGTCCTTGCTTTTGCAAAAAGGGAGAGAGAGAGAAAGCTCCAGTTCTCCCTCTGGTTGATGCATATCGAGATGGGATCTTACTGACAGCCTAAGGATGGATCCAACACAGAGGACAGCACGGCCAAGAGAACCAGAGAACAGAGCTCCCAATTACTGGCTCAGAGCCATCCTATCCGATCTTAATGTTCCACTTCCGAATCCACTGCACATCACTGATTGGACTGTGGTGACACCACCTTAAACAGCATACCCCACACGCTTGGGTCTCCTTTACCTGTACTTCTCTGCTTTCCACTTGGGCTGAGTGAGGCAAGACAGGAGAAGAGTGGCTACTGCAAGCTATTAGGCCACCATGCTTCACAGCAATGTCAAATGCAACCGGTACAAATCAAGGGGATGGCATGTCCCCTTCCAGAGAACAATCGACTCTAACAGTTCCCGTGAAATCCCCACTTGGGTTGAGGAGATGCTGAAACTATGAGATGGCTCCTCCCCACCCCTCCTGCTCCATAAAAGCTGAGAGGTATCACAAAAGCAGATGAGGTACCACCCTGGGGACATGCAAGAACTGCAAAGTGACACGTGACTAAACAAAGCACTCTCCATAACCAACCCCTGTAGGTTTAGCAAGACCCAAATCCACTTCTTTTTTAAAAGGGGATGCCACTAAATAAACATCTGAGAGGGAGTGCAAATTAGGAAAGGGAGTGTTTTCGAAGCAGATATGCTATTACTATTCATTTACCATGTTGTTATTATTCATATTATTAATTCATATGCTTAATTAGCTTAAAAAGAAAACACTTCAAAATCTATACACTTTAAGCATTTTACTGCAATTAAAACATACACAAGTTTTCTCAAGAAGAACCTTACAACCCCAGGTCAAAGCCTCTTCAACTGCGGGTCGACAGATGCAGTTCTACTTTCTTCACCTTACAAAAACCACAGTCATGGTACTTCACCTGGGATTTACAGTTTCTGTTTCTTAACTAGGAAACAACATTTCACAAACACTTGAAAAGTAATCTTACTGTGGAATCTTTTCATGTTAGTTGGGGATTTTTTTCTTTTTTTTTTCTTTTTTTTAAAGATTCATTTATTTTACTTGAAAGTCAGAGTTACACCAAGAGAAAAGAGGCAGAGAAAGAGAGAGAGGTCTTCTATCCGATGGTTCACTCCCCAAATGGCCACAACAGCCAGAACTGCATCGATCTGAAGTCAGGAGCCAGGAGCTTCTTCCGGGTCTCCCACGCAGGTGCAGGGGCCCAAGGACTTGGGCCATCTTCTACTGCTTCCCCCAGACCATAGCAGAGAGCTGGATGGGAAGTAGAGCAGCCAGGACTCGAACTGACACCCATATGGGATGCCGGCGCTTCAGGCCAGGGTGTTAACCCGCTGCACCAAAGCACCGGCCCAGGGGATCAAGATTATTTCACCCTCATCTGTTTCAACAGTAATCCACCTTAGCTGTTCCCCTGTTTTCAAAGCAGTCAACTTCTTCCCAAACACCTTTTTGCCTTCAGAGTTCACTGAACAATGTTCCACTAGACTAGGTAATTCCATCATCATCAAACACATTAGCCATTAATAAGAGTTTTTGGGTACAAACACAAATGATTCTCTGTTAAGTATACTGGTGAGAATAAAATTCAAGAGTGAACTCCAGTAGTGTCCTGCCACTCAGTGTAGCATGGGCATCAGTCAATGCATTTTACAGAGAGAATGAGGAGTATAATTTGATGAGGATGCTAAGCAGAGGTCAGTAAGAAAGTCCCGTTAGCAGGCTGTTCCCAAGAGTCTTTGCTTATTCTACTCACCATTCAACCCTCCGATAATTCATACAGATCAGCAACTTCTGCAATGAAAAGGAAGAAGATTTACATAAGCGCCTCTTGTTTGCCAGGCACCACACCTTGTCACTTTACATGAATTTTCTCAGTCTAGATAAACAACATGATGGGAGAGTTAGTCCCTCTCTCCACACACCCCCCAACCCTTCTCATCCAAACCCCCTAACGACTGCCTTTTTAAGCAAACGTAACTGTCAGCTAAAACAGCAGCCCCAGTAATACAAAATCATCTAAGCAAATTTAAGAAAGCTTGAGTACAGCTTCATATCTGACATCCACTACACTGGGGGCGGGGGGCACAAAAAATCTGTATTTAAAACCAGTATCTATCATGAGACCTTACTTAGCTGCACTGAGAGCAACTTAAAAAGATAGACATGATTTTGTGGACATGATCTGGCCATCAATTTCACCACTTGAAATGAAGTTATGTAATGTATCACTAGTAAAGAAAATGAACAGAAAGCATGTCTTAGCCCTCAATTACACAAACACTTCAAGTTCATTGTTAAAATTATATCTCGTAACTCAGATATGAGGCAGGCAGTAGCAGAAAAGAATACTATAACCAACCATTTACTACACTCTAAGAACAAATCAGTTGCACCTTCCTCAGGTCCCGTAATAGCAGGGAATTCCAAATATTTACAGTTTCTAAATTTCAGCTTTGAGAAGGGAGCTAGATAAAGCATGTAACAGCTTACCACTATGTCTCTGAAAGTTCTCTCTCCTCATATCTACCTGCCATCCCCTCTTCTCTGAGTACTGTCATAGGCTCCCCAAAGTCACTTCATTACACGCTTGATCTTACACACTGAAAATCCCAAGTATGGGACTGAAGTGTTCAGCCTAGTGGTTAAAACACCCACATCCCATACAAAGTACCTGAGTTCTGTTGTTGGCTCCAGCCCCTGACTCTGGCTTACACCAATGCAGACCCTGGGAGGCAGCAGTGATGGCCCAAGTAACTGGCTTTCTGCAACCCACACAGCAGACTCAGACTGAATTCCCAGCTCCTGGTAACAGCTCCAGACCAGCCTGGCTGATGCGCTCTCTCTCACCCTCGTTCTTTGACTGTCCCTTTACTTCTCTCTCTTTTCTATCTCTGTTCTCTATCTCTCTGACTCTCATATAAATTGAAAAAACATTTTTTGATTAAAAAGAAAAGGCAATGACTCCTGTGTATGGGTCTTTCCAGCAGATGGGCACAAAGGGAATACTCTCTGATAGCTGAAGGTACTGGAACTACGTTGTCTGAATTCCTACAACTACAGAGACAAATACATACCCCAAAAGTGCCACTTTCAAAGAAATGACATCATGAACAGCCAACATTCAAACACACACTAACAAGTAATATCACATAAGCCAACTGCTTTGGAAAAGACAGAGGGAGGGAGGGGAGAGAGGGAGGCAGAAAGAGAGAGAGAGAGAGAAAGAAAGGAGAAAAGAAGACAGAAGTCTACAAAAAAGAAAAAAAAAAAGAAAAAGAAAAAAGATCATTGGTGGTTTAAGACTTCGAAGTCGAGGAGAAAAAAAGACCCAACTATGCACTCTGCTGCTTGCAGAAGAAATCCTCAACAGGATATTTAAGCTCTAGAAAACTGTTTCCTGCTCTCAAAAATGGGGTTACACCACCACAGCATAGAGCTGTCTCAAATGTATCATTTACGGTCTTTATCCAAAGTAGGCACTTAAATTGTAACAGGCAGTATTGTTATGGGGAAGTTCAAGGTAATACAAATTCAGTTATAATGTTAAGTCCTTCTTGAATGCTAAGAGGAGAATAATTAGTTTAAAAAAAAATCAAACAGCCTTCCCTGTAACATGATTGTATATACAAGTGGAAGCTGGTGGTGTGCTGAGAGGAGTTTGGCACTGTGGTTAAGATCCTGCTTGGGATGCCCACAAATGTCGTATCAATGGGCTTGAGTTCAAGTCCCAGCTACACTGGAGATTCTAGTTTTCTGCTAATGTGCACCCAGGGAGGCAGCAGGATGGCAAGCAGTTGGGCCTCTGCCACCCACACTGAAATTGGGCCCTGGAATGTGGCTTCCAGGCTGGCCTAGCCCCAGCTCCTATGGACAAATGAGAAGTGAGACAATGAAAGGAAGATCTCTCTCTCTCCCTCTCTCTCTATTTCTCTCGCCCTAACTCCTCGCCCCACCCTCTTCCAACCCCCCCCCCACCTTTCAAGTAAAGTAAATAAAATCTTAAAACAAAGTAATGGCATCAGAGTGACATTTTTCTAAGCACTTCCTTTGAAAATGATTACGTTTAGGGCTACATTGCTTTAGGGTCACCTGATATTTAAGATGACCAAAAAACAGGCATATATTTATCTTCAACTATGGGACTTTCTCATTTTATATCATTGTTGTAGTTAATTTTTTTTCATGGGCAGATTCTTCACATTTCACTTTTATCCATAATAAACCTGACTTTCAAACATTTTAACAGTAATACAATTATCAAGCAACCTGTATTTTGCTATTTAATATTTCACCATTCCTCTACTTCGTGGGATACATCCTTTTGGGAAGACCTCAAATGCTAAGCAGCCATTTGTCTCATTTTGAGAAAAATCTGAACCAATAAAAGATACCAGAATAATGGTCTCTCCCCAGCCTGCAGGGGATCATATGGATCAGAGACACAGAGCAGTAACTGGAGAGCTTCCTATTCCTCCCTGAGTCACACTTTTACAGTCTGAATTTATTTCATTCAGAACCAATTACCACATTACCAGACACACCCACATTCACAGACAACCAGAGAAACAGAACACCACCATGCACAAACTGTTCTGGATTAGACACTTCCTTGCATTGCTCTGGTACCATGAGTGACATCAAGTCGGCCCTCTCGCGTTAATCGGGTTTCCTTAAACTTACCATCCATATTTGCCTACCTACTACCAGCGCAGAGGCCACATGCTGGGACCTTCACACCCTAAACTGACTCATGCACACACACAGATGTTATGGACTTCCACGGGTCATCTCCACCTACTTCCCCAGCTTCCTCTTCCAAAGACCTCCTGGCCCAGGAGCCTACGTCCACCTCAACAGGCCCCACCACACGCAGTCGTGCGCCTTGCTCATCCTGGTCTCATTACCTAGAAGACTAACCCTCCCAAGCCCCCGCTTTGCCTATTTAACTATTTCAAGACCCTAAAAGGGGGTTACCAACTCCACACATGTTCATAAACCTCCAACAGAAAGTGCCCCCATACTCACTCACACACACACACACACTCACCGCGCTTCGATGCACCTCTAATAAAACCCGCAGGAATGCTGTGTTGCCATACTCTGGGCATTATCTGCTTCTTCCTTGCAGGCAGCTACCTGGTCTCACTCATCTTCGTATTCTATGCACTCTTCCATCCTCACCACATCATAAAAGTCCCTTACATACAGCAAAGGCCTTACTGGATGAAACTACTCCTTGATTCTAACACCAACCTGTTATTTTGAAGCAAGCAATAAATGACTTTCATGTGTTGGAGACTCGGTTAATATTATTGTTTGCAAGTCTAATGGTGAAAATATCAATAATTACATAATGCATTAATTCTTAAGTTCATGAGTGGCAGAAGAGGCCAATGAGAGCAATATATCAGTAAAGATAATCATCCCTCAATATCATGCCAAAAGTCTTATACATATCAACACTGAAATTAATCTTAATGTCCTTAAGTCTAATAAGAACTACTACCTGATGCCTCTTCAGAAATGCAAGCCCACTTAAAGCTAACTGTCTACCCCTTCTGTCACAATTCATGCCAAAGTCACCCAAAGTATTTGATAACATCATTCTTCCAATGCCTGGAAACTTAATTTTCATCTTTCTTGCAACCATAAAGGCTTACATACAAAATCTGAAGACAACTTACATTAGCTCAGGATACAGCTAGAGTACACTACGAAAATCAATGTAACAAATAAAGTACATCTTAAAAAAAAAAACTGTATTAAGAATGTCGCAAACCAGATCTGATTTTTTGGTGGAACACCTTTCCTTACACTGGCCTCACCTCTTTCTAATCCTCAATTACTCATCACCTTTGTGATACCCGTCCCACTAGCTACGGGAAAAGCCCAGAGTCTTCAGAGAAACCCGGAGAACTTTTTAAAACCCCAATGTTCATTTCAAAAAGTGGCAGATACAGCGCAACCACTCTTCCTGCCTGTGGCCACAATCACAAAAGAAACACAACTGGGGACTCGTTTTGCTCCCGTATGGCAGACAGGCAGGTTTTCACTTGCCCAGCTTTCCAGGGGACGTTCCGACAGCATCCGAACCCCCGGGCTGCAAAGGCGGCCTGGGTCGGCAGCGCCTGGCCACCGAGCACAGCCCGGGGCACCGAGCACAGCCCGGGTGCCCACGCCTCCGCCCGCGCGGCCTCGGCGGCGGTCGCCGCGTCTCCCTCTCCCTCTCCCACCCTCCAACTTTCGCCCCCTGCCCCACACGGGCCTGCCCTCCAGGGCGCCGCGGGCCGGGGGGCCCACACACGGCCGTGGTGCGTCCCCTCCCCGCGTGCGGGGGCAGCCGTGGACGTGCGGCCCCCTTCGGCTGACCACCGCCTTGGCGAAGTTCGCAGCTCGATCAGAAAGAAGCTCCATTACCTAGGTACATCCCAGCCCCCTCCCGAAACAACAATAACAAAAAAAAAAAAAAAAAAAAAAACCACCTCCACGGGAAGTTCGCCCGTGAACCGCAGGCGGGCCCGGCGGGTCCTCCCCAAGCCCGGCTCCGCAGGTAGCCGCGCAGCCCCCTCGACCCCGGCCCAGCTCGGCCGCCCCCACGCGTCCCCACGCGCGCCGCGCCGCTCGGGCAACTTTTGCAGCCGCGGCCCGGCCCGCCGCCCGCTCCGGAGCCCCCCGGGCCCGCGACCCCCGCCCGCAGGCCCCCCGCCGACCCCAGCCCACCCAGCCGCACCCGCGAGGCAGGGGGCCGGGGCCGGCCGAGCGAGCGAGCGCCGGCGCCCAGGGGGCTTTACCTCCGCGGGCTGGGTCCCGGCGCGGGCGGCGCCCCCGGCCGCCGGCCTCTCGCTCGCTCGCTCGCTCGGTCAGCGGCGGCGGCGGCGGGGGCAGCGGCCGCTCATCGCAGCCGCCGGCGGCCGGAGGAGGCGAGCGAGCCACGCAGGGAGGGAGCGAGCGAGCGAGCGAGCGAGGCAGGGGAAGGCGCGCGAGAGGGAGGGGACGCAGCGCCGCTCGGACCCTGGGCCCGCGCTCCTGCCGCTGCCGCCGCCGCCTACCGCCGCCGCTGGCCGGAGAGTCGCCGCCCGGGCCGCTGCTGTCGCCACCGATGCAGCCGGCAATGAATGCACAGCGGCGCCTCGCTTATCCGGAGGTCAAACATCCTTCGGCCTCGGGCATCCGGATCGGCGCCGGACCCGGAAGTGAACGCATGGAAAAAAAAAATAAAAAAAGGAAAGCGTCTCTTCAGCGGCCGCCGCGGCCCCCAGGCAGCCCGCAGCCACGGAAAGAGCCGAGTCCAGCCGAAGATTACACCGGCCCGCCCGATTGGTCGGATCGCTGACCGGAAGGTAGGCGGCGCGCTCATTGGCTGCCGAGGCCAGGCGAGGCCGGGCCACGCCCCCCTCGCCACCTTCGCGCGGGCCGTGAGGAGACCCGGGAGCTGACGCGGGGACGGGCGTGTTTCTCTGAGGGAGGCCGTGGGAGGCGACGCTTAAGGGGGCTTCCCGGAGGGAAGTGGGAGAACACGAGCCCGCGGTTTAGGGGCGCTGCTGGCGGTTGAGTGAGCCGAGAGCCCTGCGGGCGCCGTGTGCGTGCGGGGCGGCGCGCGGCCTTGGGGGTGCCACGGCCGGTCCTGGAGTGGGTCGGAGGGTGACATCACCGGGTTCGCGTCCCCGCCACACACTCACGCGCAGACACCCGCGGCCGCAGCGGAGGCTGGCGTGTGCGCCCCGGGTGGCGTTCGTGAGCTCAGGTAATCCCCGCAGTGCACCTTGGCGTCGGCTTCGCCTCAGTTTCTCCGGCCGGCGTCCCGAAGCCCCGAGCGCCCAGCCCCCGCAGCCCCTGCCTCCCGCGCGTGCGGGCCGCGAACCGTGCCCGTGCAGGCGTTGCCAAGGTCTCTGAGCTCTGAGTGCCACGTAGGGTTCCAGACCTTTCGCAGAAGTTCGGCGTTAAGGCGTGCGAGGAGAAAAATCGCACTCCAGAACCAGGCTTTCGTATGCTCTTGTTGGCGCTCAGTGCGTCCGGAAACCTGGGTCTTGTCTGAGAGTCCAGCCAGAAACGCAATGGGAAACGCAATGAAAAAAGATAATTTCACTCTGGAGCAAAGCAGACCTGAAATGCAGTCCAGGGGGTCTTTTGAAAGTTCATACAGATGCATATTATGGAAAAACTAAGCACGGACTTCCAAAAAATAATTTGCACCGAAATGAACTTATCTTTTAATTCCGTATTCGAGATATGTTGAGTTACCCTTGTATCTCCTTCAAAACTCCAAGACTCCAGGGAAGCAAAAGGAACGTTCAAACCAGTGAGGGTTTATCTCATCCACACTGGTGCTGGGATTAGCATGTTACCTTCAGAGTGGCGGCCAGAATGGGAAATTGCTGGATTGGTTTTGTTTTGTAGTTAACACTGCCTTCTTAACTTTTGTCCTCACACTCTTTTCCAAACCAGAGGTAGACAAGTTACTGGTATGTGACAAAAATAAATGTATGTTTTTAAAATTGACATTAAAAAAGGGAAGTGACAAGTATCACTTGTTCCTGCTTACCGTACACACCATCACTCTGTAAGAGACTCATAAAGCAGCTAAGACCTGGGATGCATGTTTAGACATGGGAATAATCCTGCAGTTTCTGATTCATCCCTGGATGCAATACTGGACAAGAAGTCAAGTTACCCTTGTATCCCTTTGTCTGGAATACATGAAACTCTAAATATTGGCAAATACATGAGCATCTAAATATTTTCCTCAACATTTTATGTTCGCTGGCTCAAAAAACTGATTAGTTTAGATGAAGGACAACCTTCCTATTATGTTTTATATTTATTTATTTATTTGACTGGTAGAGTTATAGACAGAGAGATAGACAGACAGAAAGGTCTTCTTTTCTTTGGTTCAGCCCCCAAATGGCCGCTGCAGCCGGCACTGCACTGATCTGAAGCCAGGAGCCAGGTGCTTCTTCCTGGTCTCCCATGTGGGTGCAGGGCCCAAGCACTTGGGCCATCCTCCACTGCACTCCCGGGCCACAGCAGAGAGCTGGACTGGAAGAGGAGCAACTGGGACTAGTACCCAGCGCCCATATGGGATGCCGGAGCCGCAGGTGGAGAATTAACCAAGTGAGCCGTGGCACCAGCCCCTATTATGTTTTGGTAAATGGTAAACAAACACGAAAATAATTATATAATCAAGTCACATTTTTACATAGGGATGTGGATAAATGTTTACATTTTTAACACTTTAGTAAAGATTTTTTTGATGTTATTAAAATTTGGCCTAGCAGCTCCTGTAGGTCAAAATTCCTAAGTAACCTAGGTAAGAAGTGATGAAATTTTCAGGTCATTCTACTAACTTGTAAGGAAAGGGTGACAGTATGAGGACAACTGACGTTAATGACAGACTAGCCAAACCACAGGCATCTGGACCAAAACTTTGTTTTATGGTATGATTTCTCAACGTAAGCTGACAACATACTTTTCCCATGTGCCGCACTACAAATTGAATACAGTTTATTTGTTATGTCACCCTGTATTTCCTAGCTCTGCCATTCCTCAGGTGTCTGTAGTCTGAATATTTTTCATTATGATTGTAGCATAAATCTCTGTGTTAACGCTGTCAGTTTTTTGTAGTCCAGTGGAAACTTGGATTTATCAAATTTTCTTTTGACAAAAGCTTTCTTTTCATGTCCTACAAATGCTTTGTTTGGGGGAGAGAATGGTATGTGGATTATGTGGAAAATAAAACTTGCCTTGCTCCCTTCTCCATAAGCAGTAAGTCTTCAAGTGAATGAAAGAAGGCAATGGAATAGTTTGATTAGGTTTTTTTTTTTTTTTTTTTAAGATTTATTTTGTTTGAAAGGTAGAGTTACAGAGAGAGGGGGGTAGAGATCATCTATCTGCTGGTTCACTCTCCAGAAAGGCCACAACAGCCAGAGCTGGACCAGGCTGAAGCAAGGAGCCAGGAGCTTCAGCTGGGTCTCCCACGTGGGTACAGGGTCCCAAGCACTTGGGCCATCTTTCACTGCTTTCCCCAGTGCATTAGCAGGGAGTTGGATCAGAAGTGGAGCAGCTGGGACTTGAACTGGTATCCATATGGGATGCCGGCGTCATTGGCAATGGCTTAACCCGTTATGCCACAATGCTGCCCTCTGATTAGAGTTTTAAAGAGGAAATGATGAAACTAAGGAATTTACTAAAATTTTTCAAAATAAAGAGATGACACATTCACTTTCCTCTTCCAAATGATTTAACTATAATAGTAAACCTCGTGTGTTGATTCACTGGTTGACAGAGGAAAACGCCTGAGACATCTCCAAACTATACTTACTTCTTTTTCAATTTCTCAGTAAGGTCAGGTACCTAGGGGAAAGATGTTATTAAGGAAAAGTAAATGATCAAGCAGAAAGACAAAGGATGCAAAAAGAGGCATTTTAAGAGTAGTCAGGGGCTGAGAGAAGAGCAATAGTATTTACTAAGAAAGGAAAATAACCTCTTCTGTAGTTCAGCCTGGAGTCAAAGGAAAGGCTGGGAAGGATTCTGGGAGGGAGCCAGTCTCTCTCTCTCTCTTTTTTTTTTTTTTTTTTTTTTTTTTTTTTGACAGGCAGAGTGGACAGTGAGAGAGAGACAGAAAGGTCTTCCTTTTGCCGTTGGTTCACCCTCCAGTGGCCGCCGCGGTGATCCGAAGTCAGGAGCCAGGTGCTTCTCCTGGTCTCCCATGTGGGTGCAGGACCCAAGCACTTGGGCCATCCTCCACTGCCTTCCCGGGCCACAGCAGAGAGCTGGCCTGGAAGAGGGGCAACCGGGACAGAATCCGGCGCCCTGACCTGGACTAGAACCCGGTGTGCCGGCGCTGCAAGGCGGAGGATTAGCCTAGTGAGCCGCGGCGCCAGCCAGAAGGCCAGTCTCACAGCAGCTAGAACAGGTTTTCCTGCAGATGTTTATGCAACGAGCAAGTGCCACGACCCTGATTTATACATCCTTGGAAGGATGGCTAAAGGATGTTGTAGGTAGAAGAGTGCTCCCCAAATCACAAGCCTTTTCTGAGAACTTTCATTTTCCAATAAGCACATTCAGAAACGCTTAGTAAAGTGGCGCTCTAGGACCCCTTGTCTGAAGTTACATGGCTTCAACAACGGGAATTTATTTTCTCACAGTTCTGAAAGCTGGAAGGCTGAGATCAGGGTGCCAGCATGGTCATAACCTGGTGAAGAGCTCTCTTCCTGCCTTCTCTCTCTGTCCTCACGTGACCTCTGCTCAGCATGAGGGCATGGACAATGAACGATTCCTCTTTTTCTCATCTTCACCCCACCATAGGGGTCCCATCCTCCCAACCTCATCTCTACCTAATTACCTACTAAACGGCCTGGTCCCAAACACCATCCCATTAAGGACTTCAACATGAGTTTGGGGAAGACAAAATTCAGTCCATAGCTCTCCACAAAGGAATACTTTCCCTGTAGAGAATATATTCTCTGTAATTGAAAGAGGAACTAAAGTTGGGATATTACTGGGGGAAGACAACTTACAGACCGCAATGTTAAAATGTCACAGAGCAAAAGAATACATTTTTCAGAGAAAGGACTTCAATAAAGAAAACTCTACAGAGACAAGCTATAACCATAAAAGTCTAAGAACATCTTGCCAAAAAAGAGTGGCTAAATCTCTAGCTAGACAATTTAATATTTGGTTTTTTCCATTAGCAGACCTGAATTTTGCCAGCTTTTAAGCAAGTTTGGCTATCCAAACAATGTTGCTTGTGATAAATGCAGGAGTTAGCTGAAGCTGTGATCGTGTGCGTGTGATGGTTTCAAGAGTAGCTTGCATCTGGGTCATACATAAATGCGAGGTTTGAGGATGACCAAGGTGATTAGTCCCTGTTCCGTCCCAACACCCTGTCTTCTTTCGCTCCTGGTAAATGCACCTGTGTCTCCCTCAGAAGTTCATCTCAGCTCATGAACCAAACCTAAGCAAGACACAGTGTCTATCAGCCCCCTCATAGGAATCCTGCAGTCCTTTGGCTGAAGGTGTCGATGGCCAAGTACAAGCGCTGGCTGCAAGGTGGACTGCAACTGTTCGGATGTGTTCCCAGTCCCAAGTGCTGGGCATCTCTTTGACTTTCTTTTCCTGATTGAAACTGTAGCCTGGCCTAACCCTGTTCAGTGTAGAGAAAGTATAAAGTTGGTTTGGAAAATTTCTGACTAGTCAGCGCAGACTGGATTGCAGCTCTGGATAGGCGCCTACTGTGATGAATTCCCCTCAAACTATCAACTTCAAGCATCCCCTACCCCCATGCCACCCCACCCCCGACCAGGCTTGCTGGATTACTGTGTGCCTCTGCAGCACAGGACGGCGCTGGTGCCAAAGCTCGTCTAAGCCATGTCTGAACTTCATGTGCCCTCTGGACGCTGAACAAAGAACCACCTTGTTGGGGTCAGTCTCTTTGTCTAAATATGTTTCTTTAGTCTCTGTCACGCTTGATCAAGCTCCGTCTTAACTTCATCCCTGTCTCCAGCAAGCAGGACTGCGAAATTCCTGGCGTGTCTTCAGCCTCCCACTGGTTCCCGTTCTGGTATTGATGCCATTTCTGACTGCACAAGGTCACAAGGTCAACAGAAGTTAAAACTGACAAAAAAGAAGAATTGAGTTAGAGCTTTCACTTCATTTGGTTCTCTCTCTGCTTCTACTCTGGTTAAGACGATGGTTTCCGTCTGTATTCCTGCCTGCTACAAACTATTTGGTAGTCTGGACCTCAGCACAGATGCACAATGTAGTAATACTTCTATCAGCAGAGGGTAGTCGGCCTGGTAAAGACTCCAGTCAGAATGCTCTCATCTCAGAGTGGGTACTGTGGCACGGCAGTTTAAGCCACCACTTGGGATACCCACTCTGGTTTGAATCCTGCCTCTTCTGTTTCCCATCCAGTCTTCCTGCTGATGCGCAGCCTTGGAGGCCCTAAGTGATGGCCCAGGTACCTAGGTCCCTGTCACCCACACGGGCATTGCTTTACCTCTTCTCTGAAGGCATTCAGATTTCCTTTGGATCCCATCCTTTTCCCTGACCGGGAGCTCTGCCTTCCTGCAGGTATGACATCACAGAGCAAGAGCGAGGGCCACATTGCCTGTGCAGTGCAGTTGGATGCTGTCTTCCCAGCGATGAATTCTCAGCAGAGGGAGAAGAGCAGCACCCTGAGTACGCAGCTCCTGCCACAGAACTGTGGCTGTGTTCTGACTTCCCATTCTGGGTTCTGCCTAGACCAGGTCGTCTAGCTGCCATCACCTCTGGAAGATACCGCCCACTGCTCCCCTCCCAGGTCCCTCTCACTAAATTCTGTTTTGCCAACTTTGATTCTCGCTTTCAGTTCAGCTCACTCTGTCCCTTCGTCTTGTGGTCTGGTGCTAGGTCCGCATGAACACTTGAATTCAAAGCCATGGTTCGCAGCCAGGGATCACAGCAGGCTCACAGCCGCAGTCCCGTGGGGGAGGCGCTCAGCAGGGAGTGTCGCCCCAGCTGTTCCAATGTCCATGTCCTTCCTGGAGCATCCTCTTGAGCTTCCACGGCTCAACTCAGCTTTCCATCGCGGGCTTCACCCGGACATAATCTCTGACCGTCTCACTCTTGTGAGGCTTCCTGACTTCAGGCGTGTGTTCTAAGTAACAGAGCTGGTCACACCCTGTGCAGGAGCCACATTTCAGGGCCGCTGTCTCCTGTCACCAGGCAGTCCTACCTCTGCTCCTTGCTGAAACCCTGCCAACAGCAGACCAAACCCTTTGGACTATGAACTTGTGCCTTCTATTCTGCTAACTTGGGTGACCTGAGCTAACTGAGAACAAATTTCAATCAAATACAAATGCTTGCTGCTTTTTAGACCTTTTGCTTTAACACATCTTAGTGGATATTTATCAATTTATCTTCATAATAAAAGCCAATATGATCCTGTATCCCATTTCCTTTATATATAGCTTGCCTATACTCATCTGATCTTCTTCACTCATGTTGGTAATGAGAAGTCAACTTGGTCTCTTTGCAGTGGAATAAATTCTGTGTTATACGGTTATAATAGCAGTTGAGGTACTTGGTGAGAGGGCTATACTTGTTTCAACAAGCTGCCTAGTGTGCTCAGTACTGTTTTTGGAGTATTAAAGAGAATCCAGTTGTAGAGTGTTTGGGGCTCAAACTAAAGGTGCAGTCCCCGGCTTCCTGTTACCTACCTTTAAACCCGACATGAACATCTCAGTGGAAATCCGATGGTGTGGAACAGGCTGCTCCACAGAGTCACTGTCAGGGTTGCACAAAAGAAGCTGACTTGAGAATTCATTTCCAGACATCAGAAAGCCCAACTGTGAATAATTAAATGATTGTAAGTGTTATTTCTTACTAAACTCAACAAGCTAACGCATTGACCAAAGTCATAAAACATTTCTGTGGCACATACCAGGATGATGATTGGTAAATAAGGGAAAAGTAAGAATTTCATCCTATACATATAAATTTTCCAAAAGATCATAATTAGGAGTGATTTTGAAACAGTAATTCGCATATCTTTAGTGGAGGATATTGTAAGAATAAATAAAAGTAAAAAAAAAAAGAGTATTGACTTTTCATGTTGTTGGTGTTAGTGTTGACACTGTTTTTCTGAGACTGTTGTATTTCTAATGCGAGATCTAGCAAATTGTGTATTGTCTATTCTAATTCTGCTCTCTCTATTGAAACAGATGGAAAGAGAGAAACCAGCTAAACAGTGTAAGAGTCCTGCGTTTGAATTGGAAGAATCATCATGCATCCACAGGTATGTTATGCAGATATGTCCCAGCCCAGTCCACTGAAGAGGCCCAGAGGCAAGCCCAGCTCACCTGGGAGGAGTCTCTTCAGCCCTCACGGTGCAGACTGCAAAGAAACGAGTGTAACATGGCAGTGTGTAAGTTTCCTGTTGTGGCTGAGACAAGTCAGTACTAACGTGGTGCCTTGAGGATGAGTTACTGTCTCATCGATCTCAAGGTCAGAGGTCCAAAGAGGTTATCCCTGGCCTCATATCCGGGCATCGGTAGGGCTGTGTGCCGTCTGGGGACTCTGGGGGAGAATGCATCTGCTTGCACTCCCCAGGTTCCTGAGGCTTTCTGCCTTCCCTGTTCCATCTTCAAAGGCAGCATCACAGGCCCCGGATCCTGCTTCCATCATCCCATCCCCTCCCGCCTCCCTCTTTGATTTCTGAGGACTCTTGTGATTACACGGAGCTCACCAAGATAATCCAGGATAATCTCCCTGTCTGAAAATCTTTAATTTTAACTTGATGTAAAGTCCCCTTTGCTGTGTGAGATAATGTAGTCAGTTTCTGGGGATTACTGTGTGGGCATCTTTGAGGAGCCATTATTCTGCCTATCAGAAGCTCTAAGTCAAATAGAAGGCTTTTGGATCTTTAAAAAAGAGGTAGAATCTAACCCCTGTTGCTGACACAAGGACCTGATACCGACAAATGCCACATGTGGCTTTTAGAATAATTTTATCAGCATTTCCTGGAAGGCTCACGTAATGATAAATGGACTAAAACGCATGTAAGAGCTGCTGAGTGCCTGACTCAAAAATGTCAGGCGTTTTTCTAGGTAACGTCTCTGTTAATTTTCCTAGGGAGATATCGTTGTCCCCTTTCCCTAGGTGAGGAAAGTTGAGACTCAAGTGCTCAGATCGCTCAGCTAGGAAGTGACAGAGCTAAGATTTATATACAAATATGTCCAACTCCAATGCCACGCATTTACACTGCCTTTCATGATGTGAACGGGAGACCCACTGGCAGGCCGCAGCTACCTACAGCAAGGCCACACCTCCGGGTGAACCTGTTTAGGTAAAGGAAGGAGGAGGACAGAAGGAGAATTGGAAGAAGAGGGGGGAGGGATCCTAAATTAGAGATTTATACCAAGCTGAACTGGAACGAGCTGTAAGGATGTAGATGGGAGATCAGTGAAAAGGGGGAAGCCAAAGGAGAACTGGAGAACCTTTATAAGCTCAGCTTTAAGGAGCAAACACTCAAGGGAGCACCGTCAGTGAGAATTACTGTGGTCGGTAGTCAGATATTTTATCCAAAAGTGAAGTTCCAAACCATGACAGGTGCTTCAAGCCAAAGAACTAATATTTACTTGTGCACAATTGGCTTAGTTATATAATGGATCTTTTCAGCCATATATATATATATACAGTTATTAATAATTATTTTTAGCAAATGGCTTCCAACTTTCAACTATTCACATCCCTGGGAACTCTTTTTAACCACTTTACCCTTGAGGACGCAAAGGGAAGTGGCTTGTTTGAAATCAAGTAGTATCTGCTCTGACATGCCCTGATTAGGCTCAGCTTTGAAAAAAGGATGTAAATCTAATGAATGGGTTTGCCATTAATTAGTAAGAGGAGCGTTTGAGAATATAACTATAAACTGTCTTGTCACATAATACTCACTGAAAATGTTTGGGGAAAAAAAGCATTTTCTGTAGCATTATTTCTACAGAACTCTCAAATTTATGCTTGGATTTAGTCAGATAGCTCTGGTCTCATGGTTTTGTGCCTCCCCCCCACTCCCACCCCTCCAGCAAATACACTTGGTATAGATTTGTTTTACCAAGCTGTGCATGTCTATTGTGACAACTACTTACTTTTAGGAGCATTATAAACAAATCTCTGTGAAACTTATTAAACACTATAGGAATATATTTTTAAAGATTTATTTTATTTGAAAGGCAGAGTTACAGAAAGGCAGGGGTAGAGAGAGAGAGGGAGAGAAAGAGTGAGAAAGGTCTTCCATCCACTGGTTCACTCCCCAGTTGGCTGCAAACTGCACTGATCCAAAGCCAGTAGCTTCTTCTAGGTCTGCCACGTGGGAGCAGGTGCCGAAGCACTTGGGCCCATCTTACACTGCTTTCCCAGGCCATAGCAGAGAGCTGGATCGGAAGTGGAGCAGACAGGACTCGAACTGGCACCGTATGTGATGTCGGCACTGCAGGCAACAGCCTCACCCACTATGCCACAGAACCAGCCCCGTAGGAATGTTTTTAAGGATGATGTTTACTACATCACACCCTATCTTCTCCATGAAAATCCAGGGAACCAATTTTTGTGAAGTTGCCATTACAGGAAGAACTAAATTTCTTTAAAGCAGCTCATTTGTTTCTACCTTACATGTGTCATAAATCACGCAACTATTAGGTGGATTTATGTGACCGATTGGAGCCAACTTCTCTTACAGAGGTAGGGAAGCTTCATTCTGCCAAGGGCCATTTGGATATTTATAACATCCATGGACCTTACAAAATTATCAACTTAAAAATTAGCAGTAGATGTGTGGAATTTTTTTTTTTTTTTTTTTTTTTTTTTGGACAGGCAGAGTTAGACAGTGAGAAAGAGAGATAGAGAGAAAAGTCGTCCTTCCATTGGTTCACCTCCCAAATGGCCGCTAAGGCCAGCATGCTGCACCAATCCAAAGCCAGGAGCCAGGTGCTGGTGCTTCCTCCTGGTCTCCCATGTGGGTGCATGGCCCAAGCACTTGGGCCATCCTCCACTGCCTTCCCGGGCCACAGCAGAGAGCTGGACAGGAAGAGGAGCAACCGGAACAGAATCCGGCGTCCCAACCGGGACTAGAACCCGGGGTGCCGGCGCCGTAGGTAGAGGATTAGACTAGTGAGCCGGGGCTCTGGCCTGATGTGTGGAATTTCAAATCCAGCCTGTGGTTGCCTTGGCAACACCAGCCCAAATGACCAGGTGTTCCCCACCTGGCCAGATGTTCCCCACCCCTGCTAGGTGGTCTGTGTACCTGATGACACATATGTCAGTTAACTAGCCCTGATATAATCTCATCTGATCTTTTATTTCCCCCTTTTATTTGAATCTTGTCATGAAATGTATGTTTTTATAAACTACCTTGATTCCTTTGGTTCTATTGAAGCACATGTAGAAAAGATGTGGAAAAAATTAAATTTCTGATTGCTTATTTAGCACATCCAGTGAAAATGGCTGATCCCCCCCCCCCATTTGAAGAGTGTACTTGGATTACTCTGCTACACATGTGGCACTCCTAAATTTCACACAAGGGTGGTCCTGAGGGACCCCTCAAGGAGAAATGCACGTATCTGCTACAGCAGGCAAAGTTGAGACACGAGGAGGTGAAGGAGAGACCTAACTGGGAATAATGTGCTATTAGATGAAGCTGTTAGGATCAGAGAAAACTGAGAAAGAAGCGATGAGAGGCAATCGTTTGCTTATGAAGCTGTTTTCACTTAGTCATTGCATCTTGCTTCCAAATGTGTAGTGGCAGAGGCCTTGTTTATTTAGCAATAGTTAATGATTCTCCCAAGCAATATCAAGCAGTCACTAGTAACTGAAAAAGAATTATAAGTATAAAATACTCATCAACTCATTACATGGGGAAGAAATAGAATACTCACGATAGCACTGATCATTTATTGAGTGTGTACTATATACCAGGCACTGTGTGAAATATTTTGCCTGCCTTATCTTGTTTAACTTTCAGAATCTCAGAAAGTAGGTGACTGTTCAGTCCATTTTGCACATGAGAATGTAAAGGAAACTCAGAGGAGGCCTTTAGCTGGAGCACAGCACAATGTGATATGCATCTAGAGGTCTTCCTGGCTTGCGGTGAAGAGATCAGATGATAAGAGCAGACAGTTAGGAGACTGCTGCAATAGAAAGCACACAGTATGGCCCCTAGACCAGAGAGGGTACCAGTAGCCTCCCAGTAGACTAAATGAAGGCTATCAAATGTCCAGTGAAGTCCCCTGTCATTCCAGTCCATGCTCCAGGTAAAGCCAGGGCCTTTTCCTGATGAAGCAATGCTACCCATCTAGGCAGCCTTCTCAGGAAGGGCTGTGGTTTTGTTGTGGGAAGGAAGAGAGAATATTTCCAGCCTCCTCATTCTGCTCCCTTTTCACGAAGGCCACGTCATTTCCCCTATGAGCATGTCGTTGGACCCACTGTGTTGGGGCCTGGAGGAACGGATGCTGGGGAGATGAGAACGTGGCAGTGGGTTAAGATCCCAACACTTCTTAGTTACCTCTCGACTCTTCCCTTCTGTAAGCCTGCCCCTACTGCATATAGAGCTTTGCCATATAAATAAGAGCCCTGGGGAGTCCAGCAGCCTGGACAGTCTTACACAGAAAGGTAAGAATCAGCTGAAATCTCTGCCCGGTCTCAAGCCTAAGGGATGAGACTGAAGTGGATTTATTGAGTTACCAAATCCCTGCCTTCCCCTCCCCCAGAGCAAAATGCAGTTCAAGATGACTGAGCATGATGTCGACATACTGACCTCACCTAATTCCTGCCCTCGTCTTCCTCAAACAAGTATTCCTCCTCTATGATCTCCTCATTGTGGTCTCGGTAATATGGGTTTCCCATATATCCCTCGACTGTCTGCAGCTAGATTATAGGTTTCGTAGATTCTCTAATGTGGCATGAAGCTGCCACCAGACTCTCGGACTAGGCTGAACCAAGATCCGAGGAGGGATGGGGCAGTCATCAAGGGCATTACTGTAAGTCTGTAGCTATCTGTACTCTTAATTATGTGTGTGATATAGTATATACAGATAACGCTTGTATATGATAGACTTAGTGTATTATATGGCATATAGAGTATATGTACACTGTATATGTGGATGTATATAGATACTGCTTATATACAATATGCACAGTGTATTATATGGCATATAGAATATATGTACACTGTATATGTGGATGTATATAGATACTGCTTGTATATGGTAAACATAGTGTGTTATATGGCATATAGAATATATGTACACTGTATATGTGGATGGCATATAGATACTGCTTATATACAATATGCATATGTATTATATGCCATATAGAGTATATGTACACTGCATATGTGGATGGTATATAGATACTGCTTATATATGATATCTATAGTGTATTAAATGGCACACAGGATATATGTACACTGTATATGGGTGGATATGCATGTAGTGTTCAATAGTTAGGTAATTGTTTTGTTGTATGGTGTGTTTGTTTTGTGTGTGATCCTCTTCAACACACGCACATGTTTAGTGGTTCTGACTAATCACTCAGGTAAGCAAACAAATTCAGCCGCGTTGACCTCAGAGAAACCTCCTGTGCCCACATCCTTTTCCAAGGAAGGTTTGCTGACCTCTGCAAAGTACCTGGATTTTTTTGGTCTGCATTAATTCCATCTCCTTTTACAAAGTGGGCCTCTGAGGTCATTTTGGCTCCCTTGCTCCTCACTGGATTGTGGTGGCTGTTCGGGAAGGGTACCAGAAGTGAAGCCCTGGAAGTCAAGTGCACCTCTGTCTTGGGAAGCGATGTCATATCTGAACGTTCTAAAACCTCTTCTACCTTAATCCCACCTGAGCTGTTTCTAAGATCACCCATTGGTTCCAATCATTCATGTGGTGAGTGCCAAGGACCCACACTCAAAGTCCCAAGGGAAATTGTCCCCGGATCGCTTCACTCACTTTTCCTGTCCTTCTCCCAAAACCACCCAATAGTCTGGAAGCATCTGAGTTGCTCAAGAGTTAGCTCTCTAGCTCTCTTCCAGGTCAAAGTGGAAGTAGCTTCTTGCAGTTACTAATTGCTAGTCAGCACTTTGCCTATCCTGTCCTCCAGAGCTTATGATCTCTTATTTTTGTTAAAAGTCCCCTTGTTAAATCACCTGTGTTGGGAACACCTGCCGTGGTTTCTGCTTTCCTGATGGGCACTGGCTCGTAGAGGCCTGTGGTGCCTGCGGAGATGCAGCCCCAGGGGCTGAAGTGCTCTTCCAAGTCGGCTTTCTCTTTCTTTTCAGCTGGCAGCTTTGCCTCTGGCACAATTGCTAGTCTCCTCCTGATTTTCCAGGTTCTCCTGCGGGCAGTTTGCTGCTTACGTACCTGTTGCCATGTTCGCTGGTTGCTTGGGACTATGCTACCATTGCTACAGAGGCACTTGGTGCTCCGTACCTCCTCCAGCACCGGTTTCCCAATCTGTGATGGTCTGTATGTGTCCCCCAAAGTGCATGAGCTAGAAAACTGAATCCCATGGCAATAATGCTGAGGGGTGGCACTTTTATGAGGTGATTGGGTCCTGAGGGCTTTCCCTCGGGAGTGCGTTTAGGCCATTAATGCAGGCGTGACCCCGTTCCTTTCTCATGCACTCACACCTGCCTTTTACCTTACTCTGTAGAATGTTGCAGCTAGAAGGTCCTTGACTTGGACTTCCCAGCCTCCAGACAGTAACAAATAAATCTCTTCTTTAATTACCCACTTTCGGGCATTCTGTTAGAGCAACACGAAATAGACTCAGCCACAGTCCAAACCAACTTAGTAGTTCTTGCCAATCCTAGTGTACTTTTCTTTCTGAAACATGGTCAGGTAGAAAGTATTTTGAAGTCAAATAGAAGATCTACATTTCCTTATCAGTTCCATCCCTGCTATGTGATGTTGGACAAGCCAACAAATCCATTTGAGCCTCAGGTACCGCATCTGTACAATGGAAATAATAATACACCTGCTTCTTAGGATACTCATAAAGATCAGATGGCTCCAACCTGTTGAGCAATTTGTAATCTGTGTAAGATTATATGGAAGTCGGGAGTGCAGTGGAGGATGGTCCAAGTCCTTGGGCCCTGCACCTGCATGGGAGACTGGGAGAGGCACCTGGCTCCTGGCTTCGGATCAGCGCGGTGCGCCGGCCGCAGTGCACTGGCTGCAGCAGCCATTGAGGGGTGAACCAATGGCAAAGGAAGACCTTTCTCTCTGTCTCTCTCTCTCACTGTCCACTCTGCCTGTCAAAAAATAATAAAAAGACTATATGGAAGCGGCTGACTGTACTTTCCTAAGTCATAGATCCCTATCAGACAGACGTTCTGGCCACAGTTCCTCTACTGAACAGCGGTGTGATTTCTACCAAAGATTAGTTAAGGAGTTCTTTGAAAGTAGACAAGACCATCTTCAGTTTATCTTCTGAAATTCACAAATGTGAGAGGTCATTCACCCCATCAATATGTGGGTGTCTGGGCTACGCAGGTTAATGTCTAGCAACCAGGTCTATGTGGCGGGTCAACGGGATGACTTGCAGACTTTGTTAATTTCCATAGAATGCATCTTCCTGTGTGACATCAGCCATCTTGCAGACTTCTTCTTTGTTGAACATTTGGCTCTAGCATACCACTGGGTCGATTTGCCTTATTGTCTATCATAAGAAAACTGTATCTGAGTACTAACATAGGTGCCGGAGAAAACTGCAGGTACTGTTCTTAGTCAACATCGACTTTTTATCCTTTATTCTTCAAGTTAGTAGTAATAGAGTGCTCCTTCTGAGGTACCTTTCCCTGAAGAGAGGAGAGAACTTCCACTATGACTATGACCTTGTCTAAATAAAATTGGAGTTGGCGAACTCAAGAGGCTTCCATAGCCTTGGCAGCTCATGACAAGAGCCTCGGGTGGTTACTGATGTCATAAATAAGAGTGTCAATTGGTAAAGTCAACAACAGGAGTCACTGTGCACTTACTCCTCATGTAGGATCTCTGTCCTTAATGTGTTGTACTATGTGAATTAATGCTATAACTAGTACTGAAACAGTACTTTATACTTTGTGTTTCTGTGTGAGTGCAAACTGTTGAAATCTTTACTTAGTATATACTAAATTGATCTTCTGTATATAAGGATAATTGAAAATGAATCTTGATGTGAATGGGATGGGAGAGGGAGCGGGAGATGGGAGGGTTGCGGGTGGGAAGGAGGTTATGGGGGGAAAAAGCTGCTATAATCCAAAAGTTGTATTTATATTTATTAAATAAAAGTTTAAAAAAAGGATGCTCCTTCCTAGAATAATTGCCTTTTTTCACAGAAAAAATCCTGAAACTAAAGCCCTCCCATTATTTTTTCTAGCAGTAAAGTTGCTCTCTGGCGATGAGGATACCATTTAGTTTTAGTGTAACTGACTAAAGAATTTAAAAGCAGGGGCCAGTATTAAGGTGCAGCGGGTTAAGCAACAGCTTGCAACACCTGTATCCCCTATTGAACTGTGGGTTTGCATCAGCACTACTCTGCTTCCAGTCTAGCTTCCTGCCGATGTGCCTGGGAAAGCAGTGGAAATGGCTAAGCGCTTGGCCCCTCGCTATCCATGTGAGAGGCCAGGAGGGAGTTACTGGCTGCTGGCTCCTGGCTTTGGTCTGGCCCAGACCTGGCTGTTGTGGTCATTTGGGGAGTGAATCAACAGAGAGAAGATCTTTCTCTCTCTCTCTCTCTCTCTCTCTCTCTTTCTCTTTCTGTGTCCCTCTATCTCTCTGTCACTCTGCTTTTAAATAAGTATATAAGTTTTTTTCAAAAAAAGTAATTTAAAAGCTTTAGAGTGTATTTTGGTAAGTTTAACAAGCAATACAATGAGTGCTAAAAGTCTAAATCATAATAAAATTTACAAAGCCAATGAGATTTGTGCCAACAACAAAACATACTGTTAACATGTATTTTTAAAATGTTAACTAAGACCTCTGTGCCTTGGATATTAAAATGTCCCTCTGCATTTGCTGTCTCTTGCAAGGCTGACAGTTCTCTTACGGGTGATTCTGTAACAGGCTGAGCACCGTGGAGAGATTGTGTTGGCAGCATGCCCACTGCTCCTATTGGGCACATTCTCTTGAGAATGGATCTGGTTTCCATTGACTGCTAGAGGTGGAGTGCCAGGAGAGTCCCCAACAACCGAGGCCATTACCAAATGGGAAGCCTTTTAGGTTTTTAATTTCTGGTCTGCTTATGGGCTGGAACAGCATTCTTATATATTGTTTTCTTGTTGTTGTTTCAGGAACCTTCCAGAACCCATACCTTCCTCAGATCAGACTTAGATCCTGAAACACATTTCTATAAACTAGGAATTAGTGAGATCAGTGCCTCAAAGCTAAGCCCAAATGGAAATTATATTACCACACTGTAGCACAAGCTGCGTCATCAGTGATGTAACAAGGCCATTTGGAGTATTCTGTCAGGCGTAGCTGTATTGTGTGTGTTATCTGAGCAGCTCAGTGTATTCAACTACTGGAGAGAAAAGGAAACGTGGGGAAAATCCCCACAGCCATCAGGAAGCAGAAGCAAATCACTACGGAAGCCAACGGAGTGTTTAGTAACATCGACTGATGAGTAGCATCATCCTTAAGGAACTGCTCGTAGGAGCAAGTATACTTTGACTCTAAAGATAGCACGCTCCCACTTCTCTCACAGTAGCAGCGGCAGTTCAGCTAGAAGTCTTGAAGAAAGCGTCTGTATTCTGAAAGTGCTTCAGGTTCTTTTGAGTTATTTATACTTAAACAGGAAAAATTGGTACTGAGCTTACTGCACTATTTTTTTTGAATCACAAAAGGATGTTTATAAATGATCTTAAAAGGAACCACACCACTGTTGGAATGTTGTGAAAAAAAGAGAAAAGCACGCTAAAACCTCTCTAGCATCATTCCCCATTACTTGTCGACTCCTAAAGAAATGATTAGATTATTTTTATTATAGTCATGTGCATGCAAATTAACATTGTGATCAGCATCTATTTAGAGCCACAGTTTGGATATGGTTTGCCCCCTAAATGTTCATGGGCTGCAGATGGGTCCCTTGTGTGGGGATATTAAGAGGTGGTGGCACCATAAGACGTGGGGCCTAGTGGGAGCCCTTGGGAGCACTGTCATTGGAAGGGATTAAGATAGTCCTCTTGGGACCTTAAACTATTTCACACGAGAGCCCCTGTTATGAAAGAGTCCCTCCTACAAGCAGTTAAGACTCAGTTGTGGCACCTACATCTCGTATCTCAGTGCCTGGGTTCAAGTCCTAGGCCTGCTCCACTCCTTTGCCTGCTAATGTGTACATAACAGGTGATGGGAAATAACAGGTGATGACTCCAGTGCTTGCGCTCCTGCCACCCAGTTTAGACCCCTGGACTGATTCTGGATTCCTGGCTTGGACCTGACACAGCTCAGCTGTTGCAGGCCTTTGGGAATGAATCAGTATATGGAAGCTCTCTCCAGCATGCACTCTCCCCTCTCTCTCTCTCTCTCCCTCCCTCCCTCCCTCCCCCTCTCCCTGTCTTTCAAGTAAATAAAAGTAAATACACAAAAATACATGAATAAGGCCGGCGCCGCGGCTCACTAGGCTAATCCTCCGCCTGCAGCGCTGGCATACCGGGTTCTAGTCCCGGTCGGGGCGCCGGATTCTGTCCCGGTTGCCCCTCTTCCAGGCCAGTTCTCTGCTGTGGCCAGGGAGTGCAGTGGAGGATGGCCCAGGTGCTTGGGCCCTGCACCCCATGGGAGACCAGGAAAAGCACCTGGCTCCTGGCTCCTGCCATGGGATCGGCGCGGTGCACCGGCCGCAGCGCGCTGGCCGCGGCGGCCATTGGAGGGTGAACCAACGGCAAAAGGAAGACCTTTCTCTCTGTCTCTCTCTCTCTCACTGTCCACTCTGCCTGTCAAAAAAAAAAAAATACATGAATAAGAATCCTTCCCTTCCCAGCCTTCTTGTTTTCCATGAGATCTCTCCCTTTCCTCTGCCATGAAGTTCTCACCTTCAAAACTGTGAGGTAAATAATCCACGTTTCTTTATAAGTATCCAGCTTCAGGTATTTTGCTGTAGTAACAGAAAATGGACTAATGCATTCAAGAGTAAACTTTTTAAGTTCTAGGAAGCCTAACTTTCTATTCGGAATGAAAGAATCCCATATCTTCTGCTCTTACTTTTCTAGTGATACCTAAGAAAACTCTCTCTCTCTCTCTGCCTCTCCTTTCTCAGTGTAACTCTGACTTTTGAGAGGTCATCCATCCAATGATTCATTCCCCAATTGGCCGTGATGGCTGGAGCTGTGCCGATCCGAAGCCAGGAACCAGGAGCTTCTTCCTGGTCTCCCACGTGGGTACAGGGACTCAAGGACTTGGGCCATCCTCTACTGCTATCCCAGGCCACAGCAGAGAACTGGATTGGAAGAGGAGCAGCCGGGACTACAACCGGCACCCATATGGGATGCCAGTGCTTCCGGCCAGGGCGTTAATCCACTGCGTCACAGCACCGGCCCAAGTGTCATGTATTGTACATAATGGCATACGGGTATTCACTAGATATTTGTTCAATTAATTTTTAAAAGAACTAGTAGAGAAATGCTACTCCAGGTAATACTCATCTAGTCATTAGTGTGCTAGATCGTCAACTTCAGAGAAACTACATGAGATTTATGCATTTGTTATCAATGCTACGGTTGCAAAAAAAAAAAAAATATATCAGACCCTTAATTCAAATCTAGCCTAGTACTAAGGGAATTTATTAGCTCACATAACTAAAAAGTGTGGTAGTATGTGAGGCCACAGGTATACTTTTTTTTAGAGATTTATTTATTTATTTGAAAGGCAGAGTTGGTGCAGGGGATGGAGGAGAGACAGAGAGATCTTCCATCTGCTGGTTCACTCCCCAAATGGCTGCATCAGCCAAAGCTGGGCCAGGACAAAGCCAGGAGCCAGGAGCTTCCTCCAGGTCTCCCCCATTGGTGCAGGGGCCCAAAGACATGGCCATCTTCCAGAGCTTCTGCAGGTGCATTAGCAGGGAGCTAAATCTGAAGTGGAGCATCCAGGACTCAAACTGGTGCCATATGGGATGTCATTGGTACAGGCAGAGGGTTAACCTGCTATGCCAGAGTGCCAGCCCCTGCAGGTACAATTTTATCATTGCTCTGAATTTCTCATTGTTTCTCTCAGATTTTCCCTCCATTATATGTCAAACTCAATTTCATCTGTGTTAGAACAATGGCTAGAGTCATTCCCAGGCCCGCGTCAGCAGATCGCACAGTATGTAAGGACAGAGCACGTGTCATAGTAGATATCTCAGATGACTTAGTGTGTATGCCAGACATTTCCCCCAAAATGCTTCACTTTATATTTTCAGTTTAAATTGGATCACGTGCTCATGAGATGGAGTAAGTTGCTTGAATCTGCCAAAGCCAACTCTTTGGGCTGGATTGGGCATGATCTCTGCCAAACTACCCATGGCTGGGAGTCATAGGCTATGAAACAAGAGAACTGCAGCTGTGTGGGTGACCACCATGAGTCCAGTAGACATACTGTTAGTTCCAATCATGTTCTAAGAGTTTAATTGCCCAAGAAGGGGGAGTAGCTTAAAACTAGATCCTAATTGTAAAGCTTGAGTTTTTTCTGCTCTAAATTGTATCAGGTGTTTGGAAAAACTACTAGATAGTATAAAAGATCACCCTTGTCCCAGGGTGGAAAACTAAAAGTGAAATCTTGTCCTAGGAAAAAGTCTGATTTAAGTGAAACATGCTGGGATGGGCACTGTGGCACAACAGATTAATGAGCCCGCATCCCACGCTGGAAGGCTTGTTCAAGGTCTTGGCTGCTCCCCTTCTGATCCGGCTTCCTGCTGAAGCATCCCTGGAGGCAGCAGATAATGGTTCCAGCACCTGGGTTCCTGCAACTCGCATGAGAAATCCAGTGGAATTCTCAGTTCCTGGCTTCAGCCAGGGCTAACCCGGACTGGGACATTTGAGGAGTAAAGCAGCAGATAGAAGATATCTCTTTATGCCTTTCAAGTAGATGAAAAATAAACATTTAAAAAGTAAATAAATAAAATACCTTCTCTTCCATACCCCTGTCCTACAACCACTGTTCCCACCGAGTGCTCTCATACTCCTAAGACAGTGATCTGTGTTCCAAAATTTTCTCTAAATTTTCACTGGTTTGCTATTCCTTTAGGAATGAGATAAAACAATTCACTATTAATAATAGAAATGTATCACCAATCCCAGGGATATTTGCAAGTTATATCATGACTGTAGTAGGGCACAACCCCAACCACTCCTGCCCCGGAGACTCCCTCGTGTAAGAATTTCAAGGGGAGGAGACACTAAGAAGTAGGTGCTATCATTTGAGCGTCACCTGGAAGTTCATTTGTGAATTAACACAGCAGCATTGGAAGGTGGGTTCTGGTGGAATGTGGTAATATCCTGGAGTTGGAGCCCTCATGAATGGGTGTTCCTTTCTGTGTGAGTTGTCAGCAGGCTGGGTTAGTTACTTAGTGAATTCAGGTTGTCAGTGAGTCCACCCAGTTCTTTCTCTTTTCCATGCTTCCGTTTCCCTTCCCTTCCTATCAGGAGTTGAAGCAGCATGAGGCCACCACCAGAAGCCATGCAGCTGCCAGCTCCATGCTCTTGAACCTCTCAGCTTCCAGAACGGTGAGCCAAAAAAATTCTTTCCTCATCAGTTACCCAGCTGTAGATATTTCAAGGTAAGAGCAGAACATGGACTTAAAATAGGTGAGAATTTTGTTGCAAACCTTCCCCAGGCCCTGAAATCAGACTCTGAAAGTGTTCCATCCCATTGCCTCCATGAATACCATGGCTGGCCTTGCCAAACTGGGTTTTCCCAGAACATCTTTGTCCTAGAGAATTGCCATTGGCTAATCCTCCTCTTTTCCCGTCTTCACATATTTTCAAGCTACTTTTTGTATTTAAAGGTCATTTTTGCTTGATGTTTCTTATATGATGAATGTTGCATTTTCAGATTGTTTTTTTTTCTCTGGTGTGCTAAAGAGTAATTATCCTCATTTTAAAATGATTTCTGAATTCAAATTGCTGTTAAATCTGATTCTATTCTGAACCCTGCCCCACCATCCTGCAACACCAAGGCACTGGATCTCACTTACCCAAGGCCTTTAAACACACAAGAACTGACAATGGGGATGAGGGGGAGAAAGAAAACGAGAAGCTCAGAATTCCCAAAAACCCTAGAAATTCATCTTTCTAAGAACAACAGCACTCTGGAATTTATTCATCAGAATGTCCATGGGCTTCTTCATATAAAGCCAACCCCAGCTGAGTTCTAAATTCAGAAACATTGTGTTGGAGTTAAGTGTATCATGTTTCTTAGCTCTCAAGAACACAAGGAAAAAGGACAGATATGGTATCTCAAACCACCAGTGTGTGTGGGCTAGAACTAGTCTGGTGTGGTAAGAGCTGGATGGTGGTTTAAGACACTTGAGTGAGCCAGAATCAGGCCACGGGCTCATGGCTGCCTATCCTTGCTTTAACGCCTGCCGGCTGGCATGAAATCCATAAGCGATTGTTGTACAGTCCAAAGCTTTACCAATGCCTTCCCTGGCACTGCAGTCATAAACATGTTTGCGGCTTAGCTGCCTGCAAATGAGACACTGCTTCCCGCCCACCACCCACGCGGAGAAATACTGCTCTTTGAATCTTCCGAGCGGCTCAGCCACTACACAATCAGCCCCCACACAGTAACTGCTAAAGTGCTTATTATGTCTGCCTGAGAATCTGATATGTTAAAGTCTGTTGTTTTTCCTAATCAAAAGCAACATTATACATATGCACAGACATTTTTCTAAATATGATTGAAAAGGATTTAGTGATCTTGACAAGACAGTATCAAAATTATTTAAATTTTGAATAATTTTTATTGTTAGCAGAATGAGATTTCTTTTGGGGGATGGAGGGAAACGCTGTTACTATGAAAACTGGGGAATTTCAGATGTGGGTGGCAATTCACATGGGCATATTCATTTAAGCAAAATGAACTAACTTATGAGAGTGACTCTGTCTACCAGCAATTTTAGAGCACCCCCAACGCTCGTGTGGGGTGGGCGTGGGGGCAGATACAGTGGTGCTGCTTGCTGCTTCAGGCCGAAGCTGAAGTATTCTCCCGCCCACTCAAGCACAGACAAGGGCAGCCTGAAGCAGAGAATTCAAACTGGGGGGAGAAAATGGCAGAATATCTCATGAGGCGGAAGTTTGGAGTAGAGGCTGAGCCTTTTAAAATCCGTGCAAAAAGGCAGGTTAACACCACTGCATCTTTGCGTGAGTCATGTGTGCAAGTAGGGTTATTGGTTCTCGTTAAGTCCCAAAGCATCTGTCTTAGGGCTGGTGTCTTCGCCCCTGCAACAGTGCAGTGCTATTTTTAGATCAGAGTTTCCTTAATAAAGGTTTGCTGAACTCATCCTCTGCACCTCCCATGGCACTGACATTTTCTGAGCACCTCCAGTTAGTCTTGGTGCTGAGTGCAGACCATGACAAGATAATAAGGGCAAGAAAGAGCCCTGCACTTAAGAAGCTACGTCTAGTGTGAAAACAGGCATTTAAACAGACAGTAGCATCTGGCAGAGTAAACTCTATACTGGGGACATGTACCCCAGGAAACACTGTCCAACAAAGATGATTTCATAGGCGGGAGTAAACACCGGTATTGAGATTGGAGGGATGGTTAAATGGGGCAGTGTTCAAGTGGTCAGTTTCTAGATTAATGTTCTACTGCAATAACTCTCAGTTCTCTATGCAGCCTTGTAAATTTGGGTGTGGGGAGTGAATCCTCAAACAGTGAAGGCCTACTTCCCGCACTCAGGACCCCAAAGTCCCTGCTATGCTCTGCTTAAAGACCAGCAATTCATTCAGTTAGAAAGGATTTAAGGACCCCTGGTTTGACTACCGTAGAAGTGCTAGCTTGTGACAGAATGAGCAGGTTGGCAGTGGGTAGGAGGTGTTGAAGGTGCAGGACACAGACCCATTAACCGAGCACCATCTGATAAAAGAAACACAGTTGTGTATGTGGAGCACCTTACATAGCATCTCATTTAAACCCATGGTGGGGCCGGCTCTGTGGCCTAAAGCACCGGCATCCCATATGGGTGCCGGTGCTAGTCCCAGCTGCTCCTCTTCCGATCCAGCTCTCTGCTTTGGACTGGGAAAGCAGTAGAAGATGGCCCAAGTCCTTGGGCCCCTGCACCCACATAGGAGACCACGAATAAGCTCCTGGCTCTTGGCTTCAGATCAGCGCAGCTCCAGCCATTGCAGCCATCTGGGGAGTGAACCAGCAGATGGAAGATTTCTCTCTCTCTGTCTCTACCTCTCTTTATAACTCTGTCTTTCAAATAAATAAAATCAATATTAAAAAATAAACCTATGGTGAACATGGTGGTGCACAACCTCTCTGGGATCACACAGGTATTGTCAGAGCTGAGCCTCTAGCAGTTTCCCTGACTGCCAAGGTGGGGCCTCATTCTACCATACCAGTTCAGGCAGAGTTACTGTGAGAGAGGATGATACTCCATGCTGTTTCTTGAAATTTTTTTTTTAATATTTTATTTTGATTGATAGAATTACAGACAGAGAGAGGAAGAAACAGAAAGAAAGGTCTTCCATCCACTGGTTCACTCTTCAGATAGCTGCAACAGCTGGAGCTGAGTCAATCCAAAGCCAGAAGCCAGGAGCTTCTTCCAGATCTCCCACATGGATGCAAGGGCCCAAGCGCTTGAGCCATCATCTTCCACTGCTTTCCCAGACCACTAACAGAGAGCTGGATTAGAAGAGAGGCAGCTGGGACATGAACCAGCACCCATATGGGATGCAAACACCACAGACGGAGGCTTAGTCTAATACTCCATAGCGCCAGCCCCCTCCATGCTGTTTCTTAGGCTCAGTGGTAGGTACATTTCGATCACTATTTAGCATTTCTTTAAACCTTTCATATTATTGGGACTTTATTCAATATTTGCCAAAACAATTTTTTAAATGAAATAGAGTGGGAGTTCTGGATGAGCCAGAACTGTATAAAGGGATGCTTCTGAATTTGAGAGGAAAAAGCTGGCAGAGCATCAGTTGGCATCAGCAGCCTCCCACCAGGAATATCAAATGTATTCTCATAGAAGAAACACTGTGCTAGGAAATACAGAAGCGATCAGCCAGAGAGCCCCAGGCGAATTCCACGGCAGAAATGGGGCACCAGGCACCTATTGGAGAGTCAGGAAAGCACCCAAGACTCTGGTGCAGGAGAGGGCCAGGCAAGAAATCTAGCAGTGTCACCGTGCCACTGAGGTCCTGGAGGTAGCTGAGGCTCTTGTCAGAAACGAGGAGGCTGGGTCTAAGAAAAGGGCAGAAGTTATTCTAGAATTAAACCATACGGGGCATCCCAGCCACAGCAAGAGCTCCTCCATGCACAGACCTCTCTCAAAGTTGAGCTAGATGTTCAGTTGTTTCTAGGGGTGGTGAGCCTACAAGGGAAATAGTTGGAGAAGGGATAAGGGTGGTACCAAGAGTATAGGGCAATCGAGAGAGGAGGGTATCGGGACGATGCCTAACACCAGCTGAGAAAAGTAATATGTATGCAGGATAGCTGTTGTGTTTTTCCTGCCCTCCATCTGGCATTTTGGGCCCCTCCCTGTCCCCTGGGAATATAGGCAAAACACAGTGTGAAGGTGTCTCTCCCTTACCGGAGCCCAGCGTCCTCACTAGGTAAGTTGGACTTTGGCTCCCAGAATTTGAAATCTTAAGCTGAGAGAGGAAAGGAAAGGAAATAACTGACGCTGTTTCATTCCCGAGCTGGGACAGTGGACACCTAGTTGGCCACAGCTGTTCTCATTCCAGACCTTTTTGAAATTTGCATGTTCAATACCCCCTGGATCCTGGAATATCTCCATCCTGTCTGGGTGTTGTTTCATTTAAATTAGCTAACTTAGTTTCTGTTGCTTGTAACCAAATATCATAAGTGACTACTCTTGACAAGGTCAACGAGATTCTGATTCTCTTCAGAGTCCGCCTCCCCAAAGATGCAGTCCGAGTCGGTGTCCTTGAATTTGCAATACAGGAAGCCCCCAAAGAGCCGCTGTCATCTGCAGCGTCCTATTTTCCTCGGGGAGCCGACCAAATCAGGCAGATTTTTCCATCTTCACAGCTCCTCACTCTTGGTTCTAGAGCTAACAAATACGTTTTCCTAAGCCCCGTATGCCTAAAGCACAACCCAGTTCTCTATGATTTGTCTGAAATTTAGAACATTGCTGTGTTGATAGAATAGGTAAATAGTGCTTTTCAGGTTCAGTGTCTAAAAGAAACGTCAGGTCTAAACCAAGTAGATTTTCATGGAAGCATCTGTTGAAGTATTGAAATCAAGTGAAAATACTGTGGACAGGTAAATATTTTTACTTTAAATTAGATCAGGCTCATATGACCACTCTGTTATAACTGTAACCAAGATGGTGACGCTTTTCTTAATCAAAAAGCTAAAGAGGAAAATAATCCTTTTTAAGTCCAAGGTGGCAAGGCTTTTGTGAAGCATACCATTTAGGAATTTACAAGCGTGTATAGATATTTGATTCAATCTTAACATTTTTGTTTCAAAAACCCGGAGAGCCATAGATGGGGAAGACAAAGCAGTGAGCCTTAAACTACAAAGAGGTAACTGAAGCTGTTCATGGCCATTTTTACTGGCAATCGATGTGGTATTGATTTTCTATTCTTGCCGCTCTTGCAGAAACGTCCTTGGCTGGAAACGCAACCTAAGCTAGGAAGTATTAGCAAACAAAAAATTTCCAACCTAAGGAAAGAGTAAGAGAGCAGCAGAGAGGGTGGAAGTCTGGATATCTGTACACGTACGTACTTCAGAGATGGAAGATAACGACGTGCTGCTAGCTGATTCTGCGGATCAGAAGGTGGTGCCCCCACGATCCAGGCTTAGAGGAGGCCCCACAGCCTGTTCCATCTCTAAAGGCGAGATCTACGTCCTAGCTGATCAGCAGTGCCGCTAGTTAGATGAGGGAGAGCTGGGTGACAGCTTCAGGATCTGCGTGGGTTCGCATCACCCGGACTGCAGAATCTGTTCAACGTGCTTGCCCTGTGAACTGGGTCGATAGCTTATCTGAGTACGTGAGGAAAAGCTGAATCTCATTCCAAGTGAAAAAGGAATTGATCAAATTGGAAAATTTTAAGACTATTGTGCATTAAAAATCAGGCCATTTCAAAAGCCCTGGAGAAATTTGTTCCAGAATGGAGTGCTATAATTTCTTTCAAAATGGAACATCTTGGGGCCCATTTTCAGTAATTCACAGGTGAAGATCAAATTCCACATTTTCTAACCGGAAAGATGCCTTCCAAATAAAGAAACATCAAATCACAGCTTTATTTGATAAGTATATTTTTTTTAGTAATGAGAACAGATTTAATATAGTTCACAGGTACAGTTCTAATATAATGATGCTGGGGCTGGCGCCGTGGCTCACTAGGTTAATCCTCCACCTGCGGCACCAGTATCTCATGGGCACCTGGTTCTAGTCCCAGTTGCTCCTCTTCCAGTCCAGCTCTCTGCTGTGGCCCGGGAGGGCAGTGGATGTTGGCCCAAGTGCTTGGACGCCTGCACCCGCGTGGGAGACCAGGAAGAAGCTCCTGGCTCCTGGCTTTGGATCGGCACAGCTCTAACCATAGCGGCCATTTGGGGGGTGAACCAACGGAAGGAAGACCTTTCTGTCTCTCTCCCTCACTGTCTAACTCTATCTGTCTAAATAATAATAATAATAATAAAAGAAAACAAATTCTTTAAAAAAAAGAATATAATGGTGCTTCCCTTATAATTTCAGTAGCTTTGAGCAATTCAATGAAAACTAACTTTCAAAGGACAAATCTAAGCTTCCCTGATTTTACAGAACTGTTCTTCATTGCAGTTAGTCAAATCCAATAGTTTCGCACGTGCACGCACACACACACACACACACCCCCAAACCTATAAGATGAGCTGTGTCTGCTTCTAAATCACAAAAGTGGCTTTAACAGGAAGAATCTTCAAAAAGTCTATAAAAATGTTTCCTATGAAAACATTACATGTGGATTTCAAACTTTCTACACCAAAATAAACATATTTTTAAAAATAAATTTATTTATTTATCTAAAAGTCAGAGTTACACAGAGAGAAGAAAAGACAGGCAGAGAAAGATCTTCGATCTGCTGGTTCACTCCCCAGGTGGCTGCAATGGCCAGGGCTGTGTCAGGCTGAAGCCAGGAGCCAGGAGCTTCGTCAGGGTCTTTCAGGTGGATGACATGGACCCAAGTACTTGGACTGTCTTTCGCTACTTTGCCAGGGCAATAGCAGAGAGCTGGATCAGAAGTGGAGCAGCCAGGACTCGGACAGCACAAATATGGGATACCAGCATGGTAGGCAGAAGCTACAATGCCGGTCCCTAAATTTATCTTTTAACTCTGCTTTCCCACAGACTTTTTGAAGTATCTTCCTACATCTCATTTAAATATTTATTTTTCTTAATATGTTTAAAATTTTTTTTTCTGGAGACTACTGTCTGCCAAGCCTAAAAGTCAAAGGAAAACCATAGTTCCTTGGTATCAAGCATACTGAGATAGAGCATTTGAATAATTCTCAAAAATAGTAGATGATTTAATTTTCTGGAGCAAAACATTTTGAACATGAATTTTGAAAATGTGTGCCTTGCAAAGGTGTGAAATTCAGCTTGGCATGTATATAGTCCACATCAAAAAGGAGAAGCGCAACAGCACGGCACCAGGAACCTAAATCTGCAACATCCCACGTAGGTGATTCCATGCATCCCAGCACACTTGGTCAAACCCGTCTTCGTAGACTTCAAGACTGAAGACAGAATAATTTTCTGAAATATTCTTGCAATAATTTTCTTCTGTCAAAGTATGGAATAAACCCAGTAGCTCTTTTCTCTTTGGCCCACCTCTCTTGCTATCAACAAAAACAAAAGCAATACCTTAAATTTTGTACGAACACATTTTAATTCACAACAGTAACTTTTTTCATGCTGGTATTTTACAACTCTTAGAATAATGGGGCTGGGAGTTACTGATAGTAACTATATAGTTCCTATTGTTCACCCAATATAACTCTTCACTTATTGATGTGAAACAATCCTGTCCTAGAATTAGTGGATTGGTCCTCTTTCCCTTCTCCTCCAACATAGCAGAATGGTTTTACCACATTTGCCATTCAGTTGAAATTGTTCTTTATTCTCTTTTCACAGTTGCTCATTTAATCTAGGTAGTGAAAGAAAGGCTTATGCAAATCACAGAAGTAAATTGACTTGACTAAAACATGACTTAAATGTTTTGAGTAGCTTGTGCTCATTCATGTAGACATCAAATGCTTAGTGTAAATTATTTTAAAATATTTATTCATTTATTTGAAAGGAAGAGTTAGAGAGAAGAGGGAGAGACAGACAGAGAGAAAAAGGGAGAGAGAGAGATGAGAGAGATGACAGGTCGTCGATCTGCTGGTTCACTCCCCAAATGGCTGCAATAGCCAGAACTGAGCCTGTACAAAGCCAGGAGTCAGGAACCAGGAGCCAGGAGCTCTTTCCAGGTCTCCTATGTGGATGCAGGGTCCCCAGCTCTGCTGCTTTCCCAGTCATATTAGCAGGGAGTTGGATCAAAAGAAGAGCAGCCAGGATTCAAACCAGTGGCCATATGGGAGGCAAGCATCTCAGGTGGCAACTTTACCTGCTGTGCCACAACACCAGCCCCATAATTTTTGCAGTATGCTGGAATCCATTGGAACACCTGCTAATATAGAAACGTAGCTGAGAGCTATCATACTGTTTTCCTGGTAAATCTGCTGTTGGTGTCAGATACCACTGCATGCCACCAGGTCAGATTTTCCAGACAGTCCCGAGTATGCCATCCTATGAAGTTAATACTTACCCCATGGAACTCCAGGTGGCCCAACACTCTTTGTCAGCCATTATTTGCTACTAAGAACTCTGAATGGTAAGACATGGATAAGAGGAGTGAGTGCAGAAAACTCCAAAGTACAGACCCAGATAGAAATGCCAGGAATCTGGGATTGGTTTATTTGGTACATTTAGGCTGAAAGACAATAGCATCAAAGTAGTATTACAGCATGCTACTATGAAATTCTAGCCTTTCACATTGAATCAGAGTATTGCTTCTGGCCACCTAGAATACATATCCATTGAGGAAAAGACTCTGGGCAAGCTCCTGGTTGAGGTCCTAAGACCGCATTCAGAGGATGCAGAGAGTGATCGTGTGTCCAGTTGCTCCTGGATATTTTGTTCTTCTTATCCCAGTATGATTTCCCTTGGCATCCCTTTAATTCTCCAGAATCTCCTGGTGATATGGTTTGAATATGATTTGACGCTTGAACTTACAGAGCAGTTTATATCCCAAAGCCCTAGGTTAACAGTGAAAGCTTAATTCAGTGGCAATCTTTGGAGGTAAGTCCTGTATGAGGAAATTGGATTGAACTCCCATGGTTAAATCCCAGTGGCTTTGTAAGAAACCACACGGACACATGATGTCTATGCTCCCTTTTGCTGTTTGACACTCGACCAACTCCAGACTCTGCCAGCAAGAATGCCAGCACCCAGAGCCTGAGTCAGGGGGGCCTGCCAGGTCTTGGGCTGTGAACCTCCCACACTGGAGCCAGAGGAAACCTCTTCCCCTTTTAAATAGCCAGTGTCAGGTGTTCCATTATGGCAGGAAAAGCTGACTAATACACCTGTTGGAAACCATAAATCCTAAACAGAGGAGCTCAAGGATAGTTGGAGGAGTAGCCACTTCAGTTGGTAACAGAAGTTAATGAATGGCGACAGACTCCTATGGCAGCACTTTTAAAATGCAAATTAACACACACACACACACACACACACACAGGTTTTTATAGCTTGAACTTGCCAGTCTAAAATTGCCAAAAATGAAACTCAAAATTGGATATAGTCGGCCAGTGCTGCAGCTCACTAGGCTAATCCTCCGCCTGTGGCGCCGGCACCCCGGGTTCTAGTCCTGGTCGGGGCGCCGGATTCTGTCCCGGTTGCCCTCTTCCAGGCCAGCTCTCTGCTGTGGCCCGGGAAGGCAGTGGAGGATGGCCCAAGTGCTTGGGCCCTACACCTGCATGGGAGACCAGGAGGAAGCACCTGGCTCCTGGCTTCAGATTGGCGCAGCGCGCTGGCCGTGGCTGCCATTTGGGGGGTGAACCAACGGAAGGAAGACCTTTCTCTCTGTCTCTGTCTCTCTCTCACTGTCTAACTCTGCCTGTCAAAAAAAAAAAAAATTGGATACAGTAGGCTGATGAGTAAGTCAACTGGATCCCATGCTTCTCCAGGTCTCTTGTGTGAAAATTAGAGCAGTTATTGAAAAAGAGTGGAGCTGGGGCGGGCTTGTGGTGCAGGGGATTAAGTGGGTGTCTGTGACACTACTTCCCGTGTGAGTGCTGGTTCAAGTTCCCTCTCACCCATGTGGAAGACCCAGATGGAGTTCTAGAATTCGGGCTTTGGCCTGACCCAGCCCCAGCTGTAGCTATTTGGGGAGCACTGTAGCCATTTGGGGAACCACCAGATGGAAGACCTCTCTCTCTCTCTCTCACATGCTGCCTTTCAAATAAAGAAATAAATCTTTTTTTCTTTTTTTAAAGATTGGATCTACAAGAATTGGAGTAGGGGTATTTGAAGGAGTGGAAGGAATCAAAGCGTAGCTCCTCCCTCCCCACAACCACCCTTTTTATATAAGGCTGTTCCTTCCTTGAAGACCTTGTAATGCTTTTACCTGAGGAAGCTATCAAAGAAGGGGGATCTGAGCCCATGGCCCGATCCTACCAGTGCTGATTGTCTACAGGCCTATAGTTAGAGTCCCTGGAGTACAGCCCATGGAAGCCCTGCTCATTCACTGCAGCAGCAACAGTGCCACCCTAACAGATTCCTGGCTCTTCTGCTCATTCTCAGACCTCCGTCCGTTTGTAGACGTCTACTGAGCCAAGGCTGGATACACCTGAGGAAGCACCTTGCAGCAACCATGTGGTAACAAGCATGGACTGAAGCTTCTTTCTAAACTCCCACGAAGGGAGCTACAGCTGTTTACCAGAGAAACCATACACTGGGAAGGGGAAATACCCAGACTTTTCAGGGATGATTGGACGCTGGCTCTGAGCTACCCCTAATTCTAGGGGATGGGGTAGATTGTTAATGTGAACCACCAGTTAGAACAAAGATTCAAAGAGATCAATCAGTGGATAGAGTTGTGACCCACAGAGGGCTGGATTCCTGACTCAACTCATTGTTATTTTCCTGATTCCCAAATGTAGTGTTGGTATAGGAAACCTCAGAGGACCAGAGCCCCACAATGAGTTCCTAACCCCTGTAGTACCAGTTTGCGTCTGCTTTCCCAGCTTAATTATTTACTATCAAAAATACTATGCTTTTGATGATAATTACACGACCACCCTAGATACTAAGGTAGAATGGACGAAGGAAAATTCCAGAACTTATCCTCCCTGTCAAAAGCCAAACCATATCAGAGAGAGAAGGTTGGAAGAAGCAGGGATGACATACAACGTTAATGTCACTTCAGCAGACATAAAAGATACACAGGTGCCTTATTTTTCCTATGCAGAATCCACTCAATCAAAATGTTGCATAAATACCCTTGTCCAGTTGATTATTATAATCTTACTCTATTTTTCAAATTAGAGTGGAAAGTTCAGTAGATTTTCTTTACTGCAGCCAATAAAAACCATGGTTGGTTTGAATCTGTTGATCTGACAAGTGCTATTCAAAAAAATAAAAAGAGGTTATTAAGAGACGTTTATTACAACCCAGCATGAACAGCAGTGTGCTCGTCTTGCCTCAGGATTCTAACAACTCTTGAGTTCTGTGCTGCAGTTTGTTCCATAGGGTACTTGGTTGTTTCACCATTTCGTCAGGCATCGTGCTGGCCAACTACATTATTGTATCATGATGACAATATCTAGAATAGAAAATAGCAGTGAGTTCAGGTGGGCCTCTCACCTGTCTGAGATGTTCTTTCCAATGCAAAGAACAAATTAGTGCAGCTTGTTACATAGCATTAAGGAAAGAGGTGTAACACTGGATAGGACTCACTGGTTTTTAGAAACATTGTATACTATGTGTGTGCTTCTTTGATTCATTTACAGAGTTATCCAAAAGACTGTAAGTTTTGAGTCCTGGAACTAGAAAAGGCAGGGTAGATCCAAACAGCTCTGTTACTTGACTTTAATGAATCCAACAGAATTCAAAGTTCCTGTAGCTCATTGGAATGCCTTCTAAGCCCTGTGGAAATTCCAACAAAGGAATCACAGCAGAGGCCCCAGGGCATTTGAGCAGAAGCACATCTATTTTGCCAAGTAATAATTCCTCTTTTGAGAAACCACTTTTGCTTGTTATTGGGTCCTGGTAGAGAAGGAATGAGAGAGATTTGCAATAATTTGGAGACAATCTTGTGCTTTTTGATAAGCTTATGAAACAGTGCTCACCAACAAATAAAACCTCTTCTCGGGCTCAGGGGTATGGGTTTCTCCTTACCAAAGCTGGGCAGCCTAGTGACACTGCTGAAAGTCCAGTTTCACACCTACAGTAAGCAGACATGCGTTTCCGATGTGAATCCAACTACAGGAGCTACTGAAAGGCGGATTACAGGCTGATCAGGCTGACTGCATTTCTTGCTGGAAGGGCAAGGTTTGCCATCACTGTAACAGTGCTTTTGGATTCCTTCTCCTGACTGCCTTATATTCAAAGGCACCATTTCTTAAGTAGTAAATTCTCTTGCAAAATACTACTTTTGATCAGTTTACTTTAAAAAAAAAAAGGTTTATTTGTTTATTTGGAAGGCAGATATTCCATCTGCTAGTGTACTCCTCAATGCCACGATGGCTGGGGCTGAGCCAGGCCAAAGGGACTGGAACTCCATCTGGGTCTCCCACTTGAGTGGCAGGGCGCCAAGCGCTTGGGCCATCATCCACTGTTTTCCCAGGCACACTAGCAGGAATGCTGGGTCAGAAATGGAGCAGCCGGGCATCGAAGCAGCATTTAGCAACACATGTAGTGGCTTAACCTGCTGCACCACAATGGCGGTCCCTGATTTTACTTTGCAGTGAAATACGACAGTGTAGCCAAGGACTGCTTAAAAATAGGGATACTCTCCAAGAATTTTGTCTTTAGGTGATTTCATCATTCTGCTAACATGTGCCTACACAAAATAAGATGTTGTGACATCAGTATAAAGTAAACTCTTATGAGATAACCCCTGCATGTATTAGCTGTCATTGCCCAAAACGTTGTCAGTTATAGACTGTTCATATACCTCGATGCCAATAGAATCACAGATGTCCTATGTCCCATTACTTGAAAGCGGTTTGCCTGCATAGAAAGGCAGGGGCCCACTAAATACTCAAGTAGGTTTATTAGAAGATACTATCCTGCCAATCTGGGGTGCTACCCTGGAGGTACAGCATGTGCTATGAACTTAACAAATATCTGGGTCTGCTGATCCTACAATGTCTTAGTCAGTTTGGGCTGATATAACAGAATGCTTCAATTAGGTAATTTTCTAAGAAACAGAAATTTATTTCTCAAGTTGTGGAAGCTGTGAAGGCCAAGATCAAGGTGCTGGCAGGCTCAGTGTCTGGCCAGGGCTTTCATTGCTTCACAGATGCTGCCTTCTTGCTACATCCCCCAGGGGGCGGGAACGGGGCAAGGCAGCTCCCTTCAAACTCTTTTGTGAGGGCACTAATCCAGTCCCACACAGAGGGGTTCTGCCTTCGTGGTCAAATCACCTCCCAAAGGTCTCATCTCATTATCATCCCCTTGAGGGTTATATTCCAGCATGTGAATATTGGAGAGACACAACATTGAGACTGTGCAATCTTTTATGAGCCGAGAAGAAATGGGTGGAACTTCTTTAGGTCCTGTTGATCTGGAATTCTCACATTCAAAAATTTCTACCACATAATAAATTACAGCTCCACTGAAGTAGAAGCAAGCAACAGCCTCTAACCAGCAATTTGATTCTTCACACTATTGGGAAAAAGGTTAAGAAGGGGATTATAATCATGTCTGTGACATATAAAGTGTGTTATCTACATTATGGAATCATATATTCACATATGCACAATATCGGAAATGTTAAAAACTTATTTTCATTTTATTTGAAAGGCAGAGTAGGCCAGCGCCACGGCTCACTAGGCTAATCATCTGCCTGCAGCGCCGGCACTCCAGGTTCTAGTCCCGGTTGGGGCACCGGATTCTGTTCCGGTTGCTCCTCTTCCAGTCCAGCTCTCTGCTGTGGCCTGGGAAGGCAGTGGAGGATGGCCCAAGGGCTTGGGCCCTGCACCCGCATGGGAGACCAGGAGAAGCACCTGGCTCCTGGCTTCAGATTGGTGCGGCGCCGGCCATAGTGGCCATTTGGGGGGTGAACCAACGGAAGGAAGACCTTTCTCTCTGTCTCTCTCTCTCACTGTCTAACTCTGCCTGTCAAAAAAAAAAAAAAAAAGAAAGAAAAAAAAGAAAAAAAAAGAAAGGCAGAGTGACAGAGAGTCAGAATGAGAGGTAGAGAGATCTTCTATCCATTGATTTACTCCCCAGTTGTTCACAATTGCCAGGGCTGGGCTAGACTGAAACCAGGAGCCCAGGATTGTTCTGGGTTTCCCACGTGGGTGGCAAGGACCCAAGTCTTTGTGTTGTTGCCTGCTGCCTCCCAGAGTTTCTTTCAGCAGGAAGCTGGAATGGGAAAAGGAACTGGGAGTCAAACTCGGGCATTTGAAAATGGGATGCAGGTGCCCAAGCAGCATCATAGCCACTGCACTGAATGCTTGCTCCCGTGATTGTAACGATGTTTTTAGTGTAAGGCCATAAGGTATCTTGTAAGAAATCCAATCAATATATAGTAACAATCAGTATATAACAATTTTTAACAGATACCAGTAAAGTTTCTTAAAAGAAGGGACATCTCTTGCTAATTTACATAAAAGCAGCATGTAGACCCCTGGAATCCCAGTTACCCAGCTTCTGCTGGGGGTTGAATGTGACTTTGCTGCCACAGCCGGCGTGAGGCTGCACACACATACACGGCAGAGCAATCTGGGGCACCAGGTACTCATGCGCACAAACCTTGTACCTGGTTGGGTTCTTCTTTCTGTGTACAACCTTAGGACTCCGACGAAAGCATTCTGGGCCTGACTCTCCTTTCTCATCTGGAGAAATGTGCTTAGAGGAGGATGGGGACTGAGGAATTGTCACCATGAATGATCATCCCATGTCACCTCGTATTTCTCAAGAAAACTCAGTGAGGGACAGGGTCATGGTCATATTGTCTGCAAGTATATTTCCAGGAGCGTGAAGATGGGATATTTGGCTTATGGAACAAAGGATTACACAGTGAGAGATTTTGCCCAGTTCTCTGCCCAAGATGCTAGAAGCCCTCACCCCACCTAAAGAAAAAGGCAATCAAATAATCAACTACCTAACATCACTATAATGAATATGTGGCATCTTTATAGAAATTATTAAGTCAATCTACAAGGAAAATCAAAGGAAATCGCCTTTTAAAATGCATTATTTGACGAAAGCAGCCTTGTTTCAGTACACACAATTTCAGTGTTGCAAAATAACTCTGACAACCTCTCAGGACTCACTGAAATGAGAGTCAGCTTTTCTGGGCAGAAGAGCATGTCATACTGGCAAGCGCAGTGAAGGTTGATTGTGGTATTTCCTCAGGACACTGAAAATGACTCAGATGATTTCCTGCATTCATTCTCATGAGCTATTCTCTTGTCTAGACTCTGTTCGAGGGATCAGGGTATGCGGCACAGGTTGCCTGCAGAAGCCTGGAAGGAGGCCGGGGCTGAGCAGGGCAAGGTGAAGTGTTTTCCCTAAGCAGTCAGAAGCAGCACAAAGAGCTGAGAAGAAATGGGGATGGGAAAGGGATGCCAAACACGGGAAAAGCTGTTGATGAGGTCGGGGATGGGAGAGCAAGGGTAAATCGCAGTGTGGAGAGGTCAGGGGGAAAGCTCTCAGCACCAAGCCCACAGAGGGTGTCAGAGTACCAGCCGCATGCTACAGAACAGTCCAGAAGCTGTGAAGAGTCACGCCGGAGCAGGTGCTGTTAGAAATGTCCTGAGCCCAAGGTGGGAGGCTAAGGTCCCAATGACAGCTCGGAGTGGTGAAGCATCTGGATGTCAGCCCAGGCGGCAGGTGCTGAGGACCAGGGCATTCCTGGAAGCAGGAGGGCAGTCGCCCGCATCTGTGCCTGTGGCATCCGTGCTGGGAGGCAAAGCTTTGCTGCTGAGTGATGTCTCCCATCTTTGCTGGGTCTCGGGTCTACTGTTGTCTGTGAAGAAGAAAGGTGATCCCCTCTGCTTCGTCCGATTACACGAGGGCTCTCAGCACCTCTTCCTCTTTGGTTTGGACACAGAACTGGGCTGCTTACATGTAAACACCAACCAACTCATTTCCCTTTATATGTGCAAGAAATAGGAAATTGTTCTCTGACACAGGACAGAACTATCATCGGTTCGTATGGTTGAAAACTTTCTCTTCAAAATCCTCAAGAAAAATAAGGACAGTAGTTTTTGTGGGCAATGCAAAATTCTAACAAATTCCAAGGGAAGAGCAAGGAACCAATCCTTAGACCTGTTAGAGAAACTGTGTGGTAACTTGAATCAACTGAGTGTGTTATCTGTATGCTTCTAAACTAAACGCTCTAAACAAAATTCAGGAACAGTTTTGTATAAGTGCTCTCAAACCTTAAAGCCAAACTTCTTTCCTATAAAGTGATTTCTGAATTCCAAAAGAGTTCCCATCTTTCTAGGAAGCTGTCAGTTTTCAAAGACCTTTTAAATTCTAATCATTTAATCCTTGGTTAACTCTACATTGTTAGGTTTGATTCCCTATTTATGTGCTCTGATTTTATCTTTTTAAAAACACATCCTCATTAAGTAGTTACGTGTAGCTGAAGGTAGCATGTATAGTAAAACAAAAAATAAAGGAATATTTTTTGGAAGATTTATTTACTTATTTGAAAGGCAGAGTGACAGAGAGAGAGGGAGAATCAGAAAGAGAGACAGAGATCTTCCATCCACTGATTAAATCCCTGAAGGCCACAACAGCTGGGGCTGGTCCAGGCCAAAGCCAGGAGCCAGGAACACCTTCTGATTCTCCTACTTGGGTGACAGGAACTCGGGAACTTGAGCCATCATCAGCTGCCTCCCAGGTGCATTAACAGGAAGCTGGACTGGAAACAGAGAAGCCAAGACTCAAACCTGCATTCTGATACAGGATGCACATATTCCAACTGGCGGCTTAAGCATTGCACCACAATACCCATGTTTATTAAATCTGATTAAGGGATAATTTTATTAAAATGTCATTACATGCAAAAAAGTATTACCTACTTATAAACATATGCCAGATTGCAAAAGACACAAATTATTTTCAACATAACAAAAATTAGTATTTTAATCAGTTGATATCTAATGTCACTGGACAAAAGAGACCAACATTCTTGCCTTCATGTAACTCACATTATGGTCAACTACAGCTACTTCTTCCCATGTTCCTAATAGTTATGAGCTCCCCAATCTTGTCAGTCTAGTGTCTTCCAATTGTATGATTTCCCTAATTTGTTCTTTTCTTTCTGATCCTCTGACCACTGGATTAGCTTAGATGTTCACTATTGCTTTTAATATGTATTTCCAGCTAACTCACGCATGCAGTTAAAAGCAATCAGTGGTGAAAGATGCCTCACAACCACACCTATTTGTCCTCCTCCTCTTCCCAGAGAGAACCACTCTCACCAAGCTGCTGTGCATCTTGATGGCCATCCAATGCAAACACAAGTGTCCATTTGTATTTTACACAGAGTGACACCCTATGCTTTCTATTCTGTATCTTTCAAATTAATGTATTTGAGAGTTTTCTGTATCAGCCTCATCTATTTCAATAGACGCATGGCTAATGAATAGATAGCAGTTTACAGTTTACTAAGAGTCCACTACTGTGTTCAGCAGGTTAGCTTAGGTTACCTTGGAGAAGCAAATAACCCATACATCTCAGCGGTTTGTTTCTTGCTTACAGAATGTCTGTTGAGGTTCTGGGCAACTGTCCAGGGCAACTGCCTTCCCTGTGGCTACTCAGTGGTCATGTGTTAGTGGTTCTGTCATCCCATGGCTGTACCATCTGGAACAAGTGGCCTCCTGAGTGACAGCGGCAGAGGGAGAATGAGCTGTGGCATAGAAGTAGACCTACAGTGCTTTAGCTCAACACACACACACACACACACTCACACACATACACATACTCACATACACACACATGCACACTCACACACATACACTCACACACACATGCACACTCACACACATACACACACTCACACATGCACACACACACACACTCACATACACACATGCACACTCACACACACATACACACACACACTTACATGCACTCAATACACACACATACACACACACACACTTACATGCACTCAATACACACACACACACACACACACACTTCTTCCAATGCACTCACCAGAATGGCTCTGTGGCTTCTCCTAACAGCGAGGAAAGTAGGACAGTGAAAAGCTCCTGCGTCCTGAAGGAAAGGAGATTTTGCCTCGCCGGGTTTAACAGACCTAAGATGGTGCGTTTTTGCGGGGCACTGTGGATGTCTCACCACACTTGTGTAGTATGTGACTGTCAGCCAGGGGACTCCATTTCCTTTCAGGCATTTTACGTTGCTTCATAGCAGCAGCATCCACGGTTCCGTCTTACAGTTTTGTGAAAGCAGAGCAATCCACAGTGCAGTGGAGTGCACAGTGCCTCTGGTGACCCTTCCGCGCAGCGCAGCCCCAGGATTCATACTCCTGTCCAGCTCTGACCTAGCACCCATCAACCAAGCTTTCCCGTCCCTCATCTCTCTGCTTGACCTCTCCAGCCTCTGCTAACCACCATCATGTTTTTAATGTCCATGACACCACCATTTGTGAATGAGATGTATGAATATCTGTCTGTCTGTGCTTGGGCCCATTTCACTTTATGTAATGACTTCTAACTCGTTCTGTTGTTGCAAATGAAGATTTCACCCTTTTGTATGGCTGAGCAGTACTCCGGTACATACCACAGTTGCTTTATCCATTCATCAGTGGATGTGCCCTTAGGGTGTTTCCATTTTTTGGCTACTGTGACGTGCGCTTTAATAAACATGGGAGTGCAGATGTCTCTTGGACACATGAATTGCATTTCCCTTGCACATATAGCCAGCAGTAGGATTGCTGGATCGTACGTTAGTGCTTTGTTCATTTTCTGAGAGGCCTCCTTTCTGTTTTCCACCTTCCCACCAACAGTGTGCAAGGGTTCCCTTTTCAACACAGCCTCACCAGCACTTGCTATCTTTTGCCTTTATGAAAAGAGCCAGTCTTAGTGGAGTCAAGTGATCTCACTGTGGTCTTGATTTGCATTTTCCAGATGATTGGTATTGAGCATTTTTAATGCACATGTTGGCCACTTGTAAATCTTCCTTTAAGAAATTTCTGTTAAGAGTTGCCCATTTTTTACTTGGATTATCTGTTTTTTTTTTATTGTAGTGATTTTTTTTTCTTTGCTGTTGAGTGGCTTGACATCTTTATATATTATTATTGATATTAACCCCTGTCAGATACATGACTTACAAGTATTTTCTCCCATTATGTAGGTGTTCTCTTTATTCCATTGATTGTTTCCTTTTCTGTGCAGAATCTCTTTAGTTTGATGAAATATGTCTGTTTGTGCTTTTTCTTCCTGCTCCTTTGGGGCCTGATCCACAAAATTCTTGTCCATTCCAATATGCTGAACTATTTTCCCCCTGTTTTCTTCTAGTGGTCTCAGAGTTGCAGGTGTCACATTTAGCTTTTTAATCCACTTTGATCTGACTTTTCTAAAGGGTGAATGATCAGGGCCTAGATTCAATCTTCTGTGTGTGAACATTCTTTCCCAGCACCATTTATTAAAAATACTATCCTTTTCCTAAGGCATGTTCTTAGCATCTTTGTCAAAGACTACACCCGAAAGCCGTGTTAGTCTGAAGCTCTTTGAGGCAGCACCTCACATACACTTCGGGTATTCAATAAGCACATGTAGCTAGCACTTACATTAACAGAATCACAGCATTGATAACACACTCCACTGGTGAACAGCTTTTTGCAAGTGCAGAATAGCTCACTCAAAAGGCACCGCCCCAAGTCAGGTCTGAATCATCACACTATTTTCTGGTAAAGCAAATATGGAAGAATGAATGGCAAATATCTGAGGAATCCTTTTCATACTGTTTTGGTTCATCATCAAGTAAGTTAGAGAGACTGTCAGATTGCCAACAAGAAAGAAGAATAGTAGCAGTGTAGTTCACAGCAGCCAAAAGGTGGAAGAACCTAAGTGGCCATCAAGAGATGATACACGAAATACATCATATGTATACACACACACACACACACACAATGGAATATTGTTCATTCTTAAAATGGAGGGAGGGGCTCCCGTTGTGGCACAGCAGGTTAAGCCACTGTTTGTGACACTGGCATCCCATATGGGAGTGCCAGTTCAAGTCCCTTCTGCTCCACTGCTGATTCACCTCACTGCTAATGCATCTGGGAAGGGAGTGGAAGACGGCCCAAGTAGTTGGAGTCCCTGTCTGCCATGTGGGATACCAGGATGGCCTTCCTGACTCCTGGCTTTGGCCCCACCCCGTCCCAGCTGTTGAGGCCATTTGAGGAGTGAATCACCAGATGCAACATCTCTCTCTGTTTCTGTTGTTCTGACTTTCAAATAAATAAATATTTGTTTAAATGGAGGGAAGTCTGACCCATGCTACATCATGGATAAACCTTGAGGACATTCTGCAAAGTGGAGTAAACCTGTCCCCAAATGGACGAATATTGCATGAATCCACTTCTGTAGGGAACCTAGAATGGTTACATCCACAGAGACAGAAAGCAGAACAGTGTATAACGGGTGTGGAGTTTCAGTTTTGCAAGATGAAGAAGATGAAGAGTTCTAGAAACGGATGATTGCACAACAGTGTGAATGTACCTAATACCACTGAATGAATGAAATACTTAAAAAATGGCTATAATGATAAATTTTATCTGAGGTAAGTTTTACCACAATAAAAAAAAGAAAGGTTAGTGAGTAAAACTCTTTACAAAATGATAACAAAAATCTCTGAGAATACTTTGCATAACTCTGATTCATTAAAGAACTTTGTGGCAACTGACTTGACACTAATGAACCAAGAGGCCAGAATGGGGGGGCCGCACAGCTCTATAAATGTTCAAATCTCCCATGAGGATGCAGAGTAGTTTGGGAGGAAGTGGAAAACTGAACAAGGAACCAAATTCTATAAATGAGTCAAATGGGAAATTTCCCCCTCTTTGAGTTAGCACTCCTAGCCTATATTTAGCGTCTAGGTATCCAGCATGCACAAGCCCAGCTCGCAGCAGATGGCTTACAGAAATGAGAATGACAGTTAGCTAAGAAGAGGAATGCAGCTATCCCATGGGCTGTTCAACCGTTGAAGTTTGCAAGAGCAGCACATTCCTTCCCCGTAGGAAATCTGCGTGGGAAAGCACATTACAATCAGAAGCTATTTAGCAAACACGGAATGAGAGAAAGGGTGGCGATGGTAAAGAGAAGAGGAAGAATTGTAAAGTTTAAATGCCTGGTGACATCATCCTATAGTAATGTGATTTATCAGCCTCCACAGTGGGGTCCCCTGCCACAGGGCCCACATAAAACAGTCTCAGGGTGCAAGCATCTACCCTACACTGGAGAGGCATGGGGATGACCAGGTTCTCTGTTTGACCTCTTTTTCTAGGCATTCAGGCTGACTAACCAACTTTTATTGACCCATTTTCTCTTTATAACAATAATGGAATCATTTAATGTTGTCACCAGCTGTATTGGGATTAAGGAGACATTTTGCTTCTATCCGTTAAGTTGGCATTTCTAGGGACTGCATGTTTGTGTCCATCCCCGATGCCTGTTTTGAAGTGTGATAGCTTTTGGAAGTGGGACCTTTGGGAGGTAATTAGATTTCGATGAGGTCACAAGGGTGGAGCCCTCATGTTAGAATTCATGCCCTTATAAAAAGTGGAAGAAACATGGCTGCCCTCTGCTTACACCCACCCAAGAAGGCCATTGAAGGGCAGAACCAGGAAGCGACCCTTCACCAAGGAGTCAACCATGCTGGCACTCTGATCTCACGCTGCCAGCCTCAGAGCCATGAGAAAGAAGTGTTTAACCTACCCAGTCTGTGGTGCTTGTTACAGCAATCCAAAGAAAAACAGCATTTTAAAAATACACTTCTTTGAAAGCTTTTATTTAATTCTTTGAGAGGTGAGAGAGACATAGACATACTTACACATGTAGACAGAGAGAGAGAGAGAGAGCGCACTCCCATCCAGTGGTTCACTTACCAAATGCTTGCCAAGCTGAGGCTGGGCCAGGCCCAAAGTCAGGAGGTGCAGAACACAGTCCAGGTCTCCCAAATGGGTGGCAGGAACTTGAGCTGTCACCATTTCTTCCCAGGGTCTGGAAGATAAAATCGGGGGCCAAAGCTGGAAATCAAACCCAGGAGTTCCCATGTAGGATGTGAATACCTTAACCTCCCATCCAAGTACTACCCAGGCCCGACCCTGCTTAGCTTCTGAGATCAGATGAATCAGGGTGGTAGGGCCATAGGTGAGTGCCTTAATCTCTAGGCTAAAAGTCCAATCCCTGCTGCCTCTGTTGTATAGGATTGTATGTTTGGCTTAATTTATAGCAACAATTATTTTACTTTTATTAGTATTAGTTTGTCATATTTAACTTCTCAACCTTTCCTATGTTCACCTGGCTCTCTTGACATATTTTTATTATTTAATAGGTTTTTTCATTAGTTCGTTCATTTTGGTACATCCTTTAGTGTATTGTGCACTGAGGTCCCGAGAGTCTTAAACTAACCTGGGCCTGGGGGCCGGCACTGTGGCACAGTGGGTTAAAGACACAGCCTGCAGTGCCGGCATCCCATATGGGCACCGATTCAAGTCCTGGCTGCTCTTCTTCTGATCCAGTGCTCTGCTATGGCCTGGGAAAGCAGTGGAAGATGGCCCAAGTCCTTGGGCCCCTGCACCCATGTGGGAGACCAAGAAGAAGCTCCTGGCTCCTGGCTTCAGATCATCTCAGCTCTGGCTGTTGCCATCATTTGAGGAGTGAATAAATATATAAATATATATATTTATTTATAAACTGGTTCTATCATGGAGAGACCTAAATTCCTGAAAGAGAGATCTGACTTGGACGAAGGACCAAGAAATGGATTCTTTGTCTCAACTCTGGAGGAGGCTGCCACAAATTGGGTTTTACTCAGGCCTCTATTCCGGCTTGAAAAGCCATTTTAACTTGCTGCGTCTTACTTTTCGCTGGGTACTTAGAGAAGTGCATTAACACTTTCAAATCTCTAGAGAACATTTAGGCATAGTATCCCATCAAGGAGAAAGAAGCCAGTGGTGTCTTTAGTGTGAAATGGCATTTCATTTATTACTTTTAGCTCCCAAATTTCAATTTACCTCCCCCTTTTATTATGGATAGTCCATTATGCATGCAGATAGGAAGGAATATTGGTATGTGGTGTGCAGAATTAATTAACTTTGGGTTTTGAACCATAAAAACAACTTTTCCATATAAAACCAATATTTATCAATTTCCCCAAAAATAGAAAATAAAGAAAATATACACAAACAGAAATATACTAGGCAGAAGACATAATCCTATTCTCAATCACATTTAGCACTTGATTAAATAGCCTTTAAAAATGTTTTGTTTCTGGTTGTATCCCTTTTCAAACTTTGTTATATATAGTAAATACTTTTTTCATATATTCAGTCATACATACAATACATATCTGTCAGTAGCTTGTTATTTTTACATATATGGTGAACCTATTTCTATGTTGGTGCATAACAGACTGACATCTCTATTTTTTAACAAAAAAAATTTCCATGATATTTTCTTGTGCATGGGCCACATTTTATCTATCTATCTATATATATATATCTCAGAGAATAGACATATAGATTGTTTCCAGATTTTTTTACTCTTATAAATAACTCTGCCATGAATATCTTCATACCTACACTTTCTGTAATTCACTCCTTAGGATAAATTTCTAACAATGTAACTTATTCCAGTAATTCTAATTCTTATTTGTAGGCTGTAGAAAAGTTCTGATTTACTTGCTGAGTACAGGCACTGATTTTCCCATACCTTCATGAATACTAGGGATTTTTACTCTCATTTCTTCTCGCCAGCTGTGACAGCTTGGTAGCATTGGGTATTGGGCAATCCCCACACCTCACACCTTGCCTTACATCTCCCTGTTTTTGCTCGTCACTGAGAGAGGAAAGAGCATTACTGGAAGGGAACCAGAGCACCAGCCCTTCTATTTGCGAATATCATATGACTTACAAACTTGGTTGGAACCCTTGGAATTTTCCTGAGTTCTAATCATCTATTATTGACCCAAGCACAAAGTAAAATAGGCTCTTCCCTTTAAATATCTCTCGCACCTAGACTTCCACAACCGTAGTTTAGGATATCTTTATTCTACCCATTCTACAAGGCTCAGTTTAAATACTACATCTTTCCTGATCACATCACTGAAACTTTGCCTCAAACTCAAGTATGTAATATTATCTTTTTTCCCTTATGTTTTTTCTTACTTATTTTTTGAAAGTAAGGCAGAGAGTAAGTGGCGAGGAGCCCCCACCTGCTGGTTCACCCCTTATATGCCTGCAGCAGCCACAGCTAGGGCAGGTCGAAGCCAGGGGCTGGGAACTCTATTCAGGTCTGCTGTGTGAGTTGCAAGGACTCAATTATCTGAGTCATTGCTGCTGCCTCCTAGGATCCACGTTAGCAGAAAGCTGCAATCAGGAGCCAGAAGCTGAACCCAGGCGCTCCAGTGTGGGGCACGGACTTCCTAACCTGCATCTTAACCGCTAGGCCAAATGCCCACCCCAGGAAGCACTCTTTTTTAAGTGCACAGATACCTAACTACTGCGTACGTTCCCTGACATAGTTCTTAAGTGCATGGATACCTAACTGCAGTGTACGTTCCCTGACGTAATTCTTAGGTCTCTTTATGTCTTTGCAAATACAGCATCTTTCTTTCCTTCACCCTTGGCCCCTCTATACCATGCCTATTCACGGGTGTCCCGGATGAAAGCACACCTCCAGTGACCCCAGTCCCTCCTTAGTAACCTTTCTTCCACATTAGGAAGACTAATAATCTCTTGCTAAGCCATCCGCTCCTCAGTACTATCAAACAAGGTCTGCTCCACCTGCTTCAGCTGTACCCCTCCCAATTTTGAACAATCTTCTTAAAATGCCCGAAGTGCAGGCTTTGTGGAGTTTTGCTTCTTTTGAAAAGCAAATCCAAGGGAAGGCACTGGCCTAGTAGGTAACACATACCTGCATCCCACATCGGAGCCCCTTACTTCTGTTCCTTACTCTGGCTCCTGGCTCCAGCTTACTGTGCAGACCCTGGAAGGCAGTAGCGATGACTCAGAGGTTGGTTCCTGCCACTCACATGGGAGACCTGAACGGAGTTTCTGATTCCTAGCATTTGTAGGAGTGAAATCTAGTAGATGGAGCTCTCCTCTCCCTCTCTCCCTCTCTCCCTCTCTCCCTCTCTCCCTCTCTCCCTCTCTCCCTCTCTCCCTCTCTCCCTCTCCCTCTCTCTCTCTCTCCCCCTTTCTCTACCGCTTAAAAAAATTCAATGCTTGCTTTGGCAACACATATACTGACAAATATCAAATCTAATAATATACGTCCTTGCTTAAAATATCTCTGTTATTAAAAAGAAATGGCACCAGCGCCGTGGCTCACTAGGCTAATCCTCCGCCATGCGGCACCGGCACACCGGGTTCTAGTCCCGGTCGGGGCGCCGGATTCTGCCCCGATTGCCCCTCTTCCAGGCCAGCTCTCTGCTGTGGCCAGGGAGTGCAGTGGAGGATGGCCCAAGTGCTTGGGCCCTGCACCCCATGGGAGACCAGGAGAAGCACCTGGCTCCTGCCTTCGGATCAGCACGGTGCGCCAGCCGCAGCGGCCAATATATGTTTATTTTGGCATAACAATTTCTGAAATCATATGGACTCATGTTAATTGATTTTGTACTATTGAGCTTTTGTATGTCTCTGGAAGAAAGATTTTTTTATTTGAAAGGTTATTTATTTATTGGAACTTATTTATTTGCCCTCAGCCTCATCTCGCACTTGCTTTTCTTTGCTCCTGACACACCAACCATTTCTCACTTGCATAGGCGTGGTGTGCTCTTATCCATACTCTTGGCTAAAATTCCTTCTATGTAGATCCGTCTTTCCCTGGACCCTCCCACTCATCTTCCCTACCTAAAGCCTCTAGATTGGGTCCCCCCCGTTGTATGATCTCACAGCACCCTGCTTAGGCATGGCACATATTACAAAAGTAATTAATTATTAGCGTAGTTGCTTAAGGGACCTCTTCTCCACCACACTATATGCTTCATGAGATAGAAGACTGTCTATTTTAAAATGTATTTATTTATTCATACAGATAGAGAGAAAGCGAGCTCCCATGCACTGCTTCACTCCCCAGATGCTTACAACAGCTGGGGCTGGGCTGGGGCCAGAGCTGGGACCTGGGAATGCAATCCTAGTCTTTCACAAATGTTGCAGGAATTCAGGAACTTAGCCGTCACCACTGTTTCCCAGGTCTACATTAGCAGGACATCAGGAGCCAGAGGTCGAAATTGAATCCAGGTACTCCCATGTGGAATATGGACATTTTAAGTGCTGGGCTAAATGCCTCCACTTACACTGTCTGTCCCATACTTCTTTGAGTTCCTAGCACCTGACCCAGTGCCTGGCAAATACAGGCCCTCAATACATGTTTATTTAATGGACTGTACTGAGATGAAAGAAGGAAAGAGTTAATGCAGATGTCAGTTTGCAGGCCTTAAGATGACAGGTGATAAAATTGCTTTGCAATCACTTTCTTCTTAGTAAAGTATGAGATAAGGACACCTCAGAGTGACTGCAAATCTGGAGGTGGAAGAGGGTTATCAGATTTTCAGCATAATGGGACACATTTTGTAACAGTCATGGCAAAGAATTGGAGCCTTAGATAAGTAACATACATAGCTTTTCAGGTCATGTGAAGGTCAAGGTTGACAGTCCGAGAATACAGCAACATTAACTCAGGTGCCTGCTGGGCGTGGTAAAGGCAGACGAATGGATTCCCTTAGGGGGAGTAACATTCTGTCAAGGGGAGGACAGAGGAACACCTGGGACAGGACTGTAGGAATTGGGAAGGGACTGTAGGATTTGGGGGAGAGAATATGCAGGTGTTGCATGACTGCAACTAAACTGTGTGAGAAAGGAAGTGACCTCAAGGGGTTGTCAGGACAAAGAAAACAGCTCAGCGGACTGGAAATTCAAGGCGGCATTAAGAAATCGCGGTGAGGGTACAGTTCGAGAAGAACGTGACAGGGTCCGTTTTTGAACGGAGCGGATTAGGATGGCGGACCGACCCTGTGTGTATCACAAGGAGTGTCCCCTCCCCGGAGGAGCTGGGCTCCGCCAAGTACAGTGACCTGCAGGCTTTATAAAGCCCAGAGTCCGGCCTCCGAGCTACCCTGCAGGCAGACGAGGTGTTCAGAGCCCTAAAAGCCCCCCCTTCGCCAGGCAGCAGGAAAAGAACGGGAGAAGCTGTTCCCCCACAGCATCAGTCAGAGATGAGCTAAGTGGTCCCCGGAGTCTGGGAGCAAGGGAAGCAGCAAAGCCGAGACTGCGGGGCCCTGCGAACGCCGGGGATGAGCACGGTTCCTGCAGGAGGAGGCGCAGCGAATGGTGCCAAGGAAGCTTCGGAAGGAAGCCTGCCTCCGCCGCTGGCTTTGCCAAACCTGGAACACAGAACAGCCGAACTTGAAGAAGCTGCGTGAGCCCACTGATCAGCACGCGGAGAGCAAAAGGGCACGTTTCAAAGAACACAAATCATGTAGTGAGCTGCAGTAGCAGCCCGAGTAAGACCCCCGGGGGCCAGAACGCCACCCCACCGCGCCCGCCAGCAGCGCTCACAAGGCCGGCCCTGCGGTCGGAGCACCTGCTGCCTAGCGGGGTAATGAGCGTAAGCGACCCCGGACCAGGACTCTTGGCAGACAGTCT